ATTACGTTTTGTAATACCCAATCTTATATATTACGTTTGAAGCTCTTCTCTATGATCCACTTTTATGGTTAATATGCTAGCCTAATTAGTTACTTCACTCTTCCTGTAGAGAATATCAAGATAGATAGAAGACGCAATTAAGTAAAACATTCCGAATCTGTCACACCAATACATTATACGGTATTGAATAAGCGAACTTTATTCCAAAAGATTGTTCCTTTGATTCCTAAATTTCTTTGGCCATAAAATTCTTCATAGATATTAGTTTCTAGGATAATTCGTACTCTTTGTTTCCTTTCTATGCAGCAGTAGAAGATAATACAGTAGATAGTATCTTCACAGCTAACTCGCGACCAATGATGTAATTGTCTGTTTGATTGTAGATTCTTATAGGTAACCTACTGGGTTACTGAACGACGTTTGTAAGTCTGATGTTGAATCAATAGCAGATTTTCTATCAATTATTCAACAACATTAACTTATGTTAGTTTCAAACCCACAATCCTAGTAATATTTCGGAAACGGTAGCAAGTTATTAATATAGATCACATACCTTCCATCCCTCGTATTATTTTTGCATGTAGAAAATTATGTAGGTAAATTTTTTAGGCTCGGTACAGGATTGTATAATGAATTTTACCTGTAATGTTGATTTAATAACAGATCTTTTCAATAAAAATAAAAGATAAAATTTTTTTTCGCATGGAAACTTTCCAGTTCAATAAGCTATAATAATCGTGTGTTGCTAGTTTTTTTAAACTTTACATTTAAATAGTTACGAATTCGAGTAAACTTCTCAAGAGACTGATTTTATTACTTTAACGCTTCATAAGTAATATGACGATCTGATTTTGATCGTCAGCTTATATACCGAAAGAGTAATCGAAAATCGAAAAAATATTTATATTATGTATTAAAGTTAACAATAGGGTACCGAAAGAAATATCTTTAGGATATTAATCACCAGCTGAAAACGTGGAAAACAACGCTGAAATAGTTTTAGCTAAACTGCTATAGTATATTGAGCCAGAATTTAAAGTACTTAATAGTAGCTGACGATGAAATGGCTTGATAAATGTATCCGCTATTTGAACCAACTGTTTAGAAATACTTCCTAATAACAAAATAATTATAAGCAACAAATAACACGAATGTTAAGCTACGATTTCTTCTCAGATTGTAATATTCATTATAAGCTTATCAAGCATTTCTGACTCGTGCGGAATAATTTCAATATTTTCATATGTGTCGTATGGCCTTAATATCTATACAATACTCCGAAACACGGTGGGAAATGTCTGTTCTGGAACGATTTAGATTGTGCAGCTTACATATACTGTATTACTGAACAACGATTGACTATGATTTTAATTCAAACCAAATCTGTTTGACCTTAGTCCTATTGCAAAAACGCAACTAGTTAATGGTAATAACAGATTGGCAGAATAAACTATTTAGTTGACAGTAGTTGATGATAATATGGCTCAAGTACTCTAGGCGTATGTACTATTTATACCACATACCGATATTTACGGCCATGACTGCTAGCTTTCAACTGTTCCCGGTAATGATATATATTTTGAGATTAAGCATTTATATACCGTCACAAATATGAACGGTCAAATATCACAGTAATTTTATAAAATGTGAAACTTAGATGCAGTTGTAGCGAAGCTATTACATAAGTAAAGTATAACAAAATGATTAACGGTATTATTTTTTAATTATGGCTCGAATATTTATTTCAGTGGTTAGAGGAGTGAATAAGTAATGATGACTACATGATTAAACTTAAAACTGATATTGCTTAAAGAACTGTAATTAAGATAAAAGCTATAAGTAATAAGAACAGTGTTACAACTTCCAAATTTTGTAACAAGTACTAGATCTGCACTCAGCAAGGAGACCCAGTAATTAAGTTGAAGAACTAACTTTATTGTTAAAACGAAGAGTTTATATACTTTCTTTATTGTGACCTTTGATCTACTGACGTAGATCACAAGATCATCACTAACAGAAAGGTTTCCCTAGTTTAGTCATTACAAATAGACTATCATGCCAAGTATGGCAACATGAGAATACATATATAGATAACCTTAATATAGTACCATAACTACATCTATATACGCCTGACGTGATAACATCGTGATATTTAGCCATATATAGGAAGAAGGTAACATACTAATTATGTAACTATTACAGAACGTGATAAACAGGAATTAGTTGATTATTCTATTAAAGATATAATAAATATCAGTTCAAACTATATCTGTATACATCAGCAATCTTATTATATGTTATTTATAGGTATATCAATACACACTTGTTATGTATGTGATTCGTAATACTGCTTGAGTCAGGTAGTAAACCTCGTATAATGTGCAGATAATGTAAAATTTATTAGGAAAACTGTAACATAACATAAGGCACATTTATAGTTAATATAAACCTATAAGCATAAATCAGTTTATATAATCGTAAGGTAAGAACGTATGAGTACAGAATGGAAGTAGCATGTAAGAAAATGTATGTAAAAATACTATAACATAGATCCTCATTTTTTATCCACTCATAGTTATCCAATAAGCGTATTATCTTAAAATAATATAGTTCAATTTAGCACATTTTTGTTTTTAAAGGTAACGTTTTACTTATTATAATTATGATAACAATCAATTCAAGCACCTGCCATTCGTCTAGTCTGATACTAACGTTACCGGTTGCAAAAATTTTCAATAATCATACATTATTAACGAAGGTAAAAGTAGGAAGACATGTGTACTATATGTACTGGTTTAAACTAATAATGGTAATGCTAGTATACCCTTAGCAATAATACAGAATAAGCTATTTGCGTCCTCTTAAAAGACAGGTGTATCGATTCCCAACCACACATTTCCTATCAACAACACGTAAACACCGATCATAAATATTGACACTTTAAATCTGTAACATCATCAGCTCATATTAATAATTCAATAGAATACTAAAATGCCATAATATCAGAATTAACTCTTCCACAATTATATTATTAAATATCATGTAAACATGTCCTATATTTTATAGATAAAAGCCCTACTATAGCGTTTGCTACATGTTGAAAATGAAGCAAAGGTAACCGTTTCGGTATAGAACAGAAAAACCGGATGTAAAAAGCATTGTATCATCCGCATGATATAATATTCGAGATTATAATATATACTTCATTCAAAACAACCAATATGAGCTAATAAAAAAGGATTATCAAAATTAGACATAAATTTCTTATTACTTAATACATTTACAGGATGATTTCTAATACGTAAAGCAGATACGCGAGATATAATTGAAAAGTTATTGTGATCACTTAATGACCTAGTAATCATTACAGAAAAATTATCTTTTTACACAAGTGGACTATAATAATGATTCAACTGATCATAAACCTAAAATATCATTTTTATTATACCAAGTCGCTTTCATTCTCTGAAACTTTATAAGTTAATAAATAGTTAAGCCTTTTACTTTCAATCCGTATTTAATCATACTTTTGCGATGTACTATTGTAGTTTTGATATTTAGCATCTTCTCTAGATCGGATAGTGAAAGTCAAATCAAAGATCAAAATTTCCTCTTTTCAGGAGGCTATAGAAATATCCTATGATGATTAAAGTAAGCAATCGTTTTTACAATTATACTCCAAAGTGTGTTTTGAAATTCTCCTCATGAATAATTACAGTGATTGACGTCGCTATTTATTAAATAATCTACCTTTAAGTTTCCGTAACCGTTCTTCCTATTTTAGCTTACTATCTTTTATATGTATTATTTGGCCTGCAGACTTTGCGTCTCTGTATAATTTTTCTATTCTTTGCACATTTAATTGCTTACTGCATCAGAACTAACCTTAACAAGTAGCAATTCGACAAAAGAAGTGGTATTAGTTACTTGCAATTCATGGTAAACAAATAAAAAATAAGATATCTAATAGTTTTACGCTTAAAATCTAAAACCTACGTTACATAGAGATTTTTCTGTAATATCCATTTCATCGTTTCATCTACAGGCACTATTCTTAGAAAATTTTATGCTTCGATATAATAAATACGAATAACAATTATTTCGGATTGATATAAGAGTACTTTGGTCACTATTATTGACATCGATACATCCATAATAGTCGACATTATCCTGTCTCTTTAGCTTTAATATTGATTAAATTAGGATTATATTATTCTTTACTTTAATCTAAAATATTGAAATTGAGGAATTAATTGTTAGGAATCTTATCTTATTCTATTATGATATTGTTAATTACATTTTATCAATAGTTGAACACCTTAACATCACAAAGATTTTATGAGATTACATACTGATAATAGAATAGATACAAGTATCTTTATTGATATTAATATTATTTCATTTTATTCTATTAGTTTAATTACATTTCATGCCGTATTATGATTGAATTGAATATATACGGGAGCGGAATTGTAATAATTGTCATTTGGAATAAGTCAGCGGTCAGCAATTTTTATCAAATTTCTCCCATCAAAGATATCCTTACAGTATCAAAAATCTGTGAACCCAGCCGACTACTATCCAACTTTCGTTCTTATTTTGAAGGCACACAATTTAAAGATAATAAAAAAAATAATCATATTGCTTGCGGTTTACCCTTCATTGCAATTTCTTGAACTTTTACTCCTAGCTTTAAATGATAGCGATTGAAATTGTCAATTATATACCGCTTATATTAAATCGCACGTAGAAATCTTGGTTTTGTTTATTGTTATAATAAACTTATCATTATCTTTCTTATTATAAAACTATTCAGTCCTAACATTACCATCAATTCTAAATATACTATCATGCCTTGTTCAAATGCTACAAACCAAGATGAATTACAATTTAATGCTAATAGAACGCGCTCTGGAGGAAAACTGGAATTGTGTCATCAAATTCAGAACATTTCAAAACCACCACTTTTTCCCATTCCTCCGCTTGGACATGTCATGTATGTCATAGTGGCCATTGTTGCAGTACTTATCTTTATTACTGGCTTGTATGGCAATATTGTATTGATTCGATCGACGATCGATCATACACAGAAAAAAGTTCGTAAAACTATGAATATTTTCTTAATGACTTTGGCTCTTTATGATATCCTCATCATTACTATAACTATGCCAGTAACTTTAGTAGAAGATTTATTATTATGGTGGCCTTTTGGTCGAGTATTATGCTATATTCTGTATTACATGCCTACCATTTTTGCCTCCGGATCTGTCTTTACCATCGTCACAATTGCAGCTGAACGCTATCGTGCGGTAGTCTATCCCATGAAGCCAAAGTTATCGACCGCAAGGGCTGCCCTAATTAGCATTGGTATTTTTTTAATAGCCATTGCTGTTACTGTTCCTAACATGGTATTTGCAATTTACGACGATAAAACATTTCCGAATCATCCTCAATGTAGTCATCATTTCTTACCTGATCCTATCTTAGGAAATAAAATTTACGTAATATTCGTTTTTGGCTGCTTATTTTGGTTACCATTAATGTTCACTGGTGGCTTATACATTTTAATTATGTATCACTTACAAGTCCATCGACATAAAACAATCTTAACTATCAACGGGCGTATGACCACTGAAACAAATCGTCGGGTCGTTACTATGCTATTGATTATTTTATTGGTTTTCGTCCTTAGCTGGTTACCCCTGCATATTTGCTTTTTCTTGGCAATATTTGGGCCGCTTAATCCCTTAACGAAAGACTTTCGTTTAGCGTTAACTATTTGCCATATTATTTCTTATTTAAACTGCGCAATTAATCCTATCGTGTATGTTAGCTTTAAGAGTAGGGTCAAGTTTATATCAATCATATGTTGTAGACAAATATTTAAAGCCGGTCGAAGTATGTCTAGTTCGGAGCATACTGGTAATCCAACCAAGAATATTTCCATGAAATTTAACTGATCCTATGACCATCAAATCAACTGAATTCGAATAAGCGAACCTAAGAGAAATAAATTTGCCATAACTCATATAGCATTTCATTGTTGCTGATAAATCTAGCACTCTTTTCAAGTCTTAGCAGTACATGTTATACATTACTAATCCTTTAGCCTATTTTAATCATAGTAATTAAAACAACGGTCTAGCAAAAGCGCTCGAACACACGCGAAGTGAAATTACTATTGTTCTTTTAAATAATATCGAATTGAACTTGCTAAACGATAATTTTTGCCCCTTCCATGCAATAGATGTAAAATCTTTTACTCTTTTCGAAAACTTGGACTCATGCTAGATCTGTAATGTTCCATCATAATGCTGAAATAGCATATAAAAGAATAACTGTACAAACTTTTTCGCTTCAATCAAGACCTATTACGTGTGCAATTCGATGAACCAGGATTACTATCAAGGTATTTAATTGCTGGACAGCAATAACTATTGCTGATGCAGCCAAAATACGAATTTAAAATTGGGCGAGTTTCATATCAAGATCTTTTCATCTAAACTAAATTATTTAAGAACTAGAATGTCCTCTGGATTACCGTTACGTTCATCACAGTTTTACTAAATCTTTATTCCACTTCCTACGAGAACAAATATTCACAAAATTTATTTGCACCATTGTGGCTATCTGGCTATAATGTAATGGGACCATTCAAGGGATCATAGAACATATACTACTATTTAATTTCCGAGTACAATAGAATATATTGCAAAATATGAAATTAAACAGCTGCATATGGCAATACCTTTATCATACGGTACTTATTAACAATGTGCTGAATCATTTGGTGTTTAATTAATAATAAAGTGTTGCCTCCTAGTCTAACTCTAGCATAATAAAATTTATTTAAGGCATTAATTTGGCTCATCATGCTTTAAAAATGATCGATCTAAAATCATACGTCTTCGATGATCGTATACTATAACCATAAAACAAAAAATTAATCTACACATGTAAGCATTATAAATTTGCTTTAATTTATTACTTTTGAGTAGTTTCCTAATCCTCTAAATAATGAAAGCATTTGATTAACGATTACAATAAATGTTAAAGCTGCACTACAAAGGGCGATATTAAAAAAAATCAAGAAATGATCGGTTTCTATCGTTATACCAGACAGAACACATTCATGTAACCGCTTAAAAATTATGTCACTAATTATTACAAAAATAAAATCTTGTTATTAAGATCAAAAGAATGATTGACAGATCTTGTTCTTTATAAGATGTCATCTTTAAAATGTACATTTAAAAGATGCATTCATTTAATGCGAATATATTTATCTTAGGACTGAGCCACAGTATTCGCTAATAGATATTTCGAAATTAACTTATGAATATTAATAATAGCACTATATGCACTATTTGAGAAAATTTCCATGTTTCCAGTACTTTTTGAACTTACTATGTGCGAATTGTACGGACAGAGCAGATAAAATATAATATAAGACACCTTTGTTCTGTGGTACCGCAAAATAATCTGGGGAACACACTACTGCAGTTGTTTACTAATTATACATAAAAATTCTTTAGACTATAAAACTGATAACAAGAAATATCGTATGCTCGGACAACATTTCAAGACGCTAATTTGAAATCACTTGTAGCAAAGACCATATAAACTTCTGCAGCTATAGCGCTTTTTTCAAACACTATCCATCAAAAGCTAAGCAGGTTTAGTAATTGTTTCAACTATAGAAATAAGAATAATTATAATGTAGTGTAGAGGACCGAGATATCGGGCTAAGAGATAAACTAACTAACCACTCATTATTACATAGTTCGTAGTTGTACTATTTCCTAATATATAAGCAAGTATATTTAGATCAACGTTGTTTACGGAGTGTGGTAAACTTTAGCTAAGATTGAATTATTCCTTTACTACGAATTGGTTCCTAAATAAGACAGCGGAGGAGTTGGAGAGCTATTAGTCGATTAGTTTATTTACAGAAAAAATCTTCATAACACACCGCAAGTAATATAAATAGCGGCACTATTACTGCACAAGTCATTATAATTTTGCATTTCTTCAAATAAGTTCTCGGAGGACATCGTCGTAGGGATGAAGATTTCTTACAAAAAAAGCTATTAAATTCATGGCCCCTTCACGGTCGATCTTTACTAATAGGCAATATGTTACACCTGCAATAACAAGCGAATTCAAGTAGTTATTATATACTATTCCGCCGAATCGACCAAGTAGCTTTGAAGTACGTTAAATTATACTAAAGTCATCATTTCGATTTATGTTACCCTAATAATCCTCTGCCAGACCACACTCGAGGTGTAATTGTTAATTTCAGTAGCTTTTGCATTCTTCTAATGATAACTTTTACTTCTTTCTAATATATATGTGGAGAAAGTTGTAATACACGTTGGTAATCGATAAACAAAGACGACTGGAATAAAATCATTCATACACTGCAAGAAATCACTTTACAGTGCACAGTCAAAGTTATACAGTTTACAACTACTGACCTGTTCACTATGCTTGACGATGTAACCAACATCTTGTAAAGATCTAAAATTCTCAGCATTTACGGTGCCAAAACAGCAAATTTCGTCCCCTTTTTCCAAACCCTAGAATATAAACGAATTTAACAATTTCGTTTCTATTAATTAACGATAGAATGAATATCAAAGTATAGCAATTTTATGAAAAACTGCAGTACGCATTTACAATTTAAAATTTTGATACTATCATATATCATTAGCCATCTTGTTATTAGCCTTAATATTACAATTTAATTGATTGATAAAATAATCATGAAGAAATGCTACGACAGGCACAGCATGAATAGACCCTATGGCCTTCAAATATTTCGAATTCTTAGTCTTGACAATGCACTTTATAATATATAAAAATGAAACACGGCGAACATCGGACTTAGATACAGCCATTACTTGGCTATGTTTTAGGAATACATAATACAAAATTACATTTAGCAAGCGATCGATTAAATAGAAGAATTTACAGATAAACTGATAACATAAAATGAATCCATCCATATATAAAACTTAAAGATGGCCGTATAAATAAAAAATAACTTACAGCTTCTGCTGCTGGAGATCCATCAGCTACAAAATCTGTAATGGCAAAACTAATAATGGCTTGATCTATAACAATTTTTGATATGCAGCACATTAATTAATTGATTAATTATAATCAATTATGTACGACGCATAGCATGTTGCTATGAAAATTATGAATTAACTGTTAGACCAATGTCATCAGACGGCTTCAATTCTCAAACCTATTTCGTTGACTGTATCTTCAGATGGCTTTTCCAATGTAGAATTTCTGGCATCAGCATGAATTTGATGTAATCCACTTTCAATCTCTTTCATAGCAGCTTTGTGATCATTCTGTAAACCTATGGAATTCATGGAATAAGCCTGATTTAGCTCCATTTTGCCAAAGGAAAAGGCATTGCGATTATCTCCGAAATTCATCTACAGTAGAAACATACAAATAATCCTTTGCCTGGCTTTCCTAACGGTGTATACATCGATGTCGGCTCGTGGGTATCCCTGAGAATCGACTAATGGTTCATTCATTCCCACATTTCTTTGCTTGAATATGCACGTATACAGTAGGTAAGGTAAATTCTTAATTTCACATTCATTATAATTCATGTGATTGACTGTTGTAGCTACTTTAATGCAAAATCTGCACTACCCATTAATCAGTATCAACACTCGAATAGAAGGTTTGTTCATTGCTATTAAATCTGCATCAACTCAATGATTTCTCTTACCGATTGTAAAACGTCAGACCATTGATCAATTTCTGCTTCGATGGCTTCCTTCTTTTTCATTAAATCGAACACTTTCTCTGTAGCCATGTTTGCTGATCTCATCCAGGATTCAGCACTAATTTTGGAGTCCTTTCTATTCTACTGTACTGTACAGTAGTACTGTTCTACTGTACACTGTACACTGTACACTGTGCAGTACTGTACTGTACAGTACTGTACTTTACGGTACTTTACGGTACTTTACGGTACTTTACGGTACGGTCCAGTACACTATGTACAGTACTGTACTGTACAGTATTTTATTTTTCAGACGAATCAGACGTACTGTAGAAAAAGGGAAAAAATATTGCTGAAACCAACGTAAAAATACTACACTTTATACCATGATGAGGCTACCGGTACCCCCTCTTTTATAGTACGTTAACTTGTCAATGTACTGTAAGCATAGCTAGCACTCTACGACTAGACTTGGTGGGATTCCACTACAAATATGAACTACAAATATGAACGGCGATGTCTCCGTCAGCCAAGTGGCAGGACGTTAAGCTAGTTATAATGAGCAGTAATTTAATTCATGACATGAAGCGATTTAATTTACTTATTTACTGATGCCTTACACTGTTTTAGGAGGGTAAGGTAGAGTAAAGTCGTAAATTATACAATAAAAATCCTACACTTTATAGCATGATGAGGCTGCCGGTACCCCTCTTCTAAAATTGATACGTTCGTTAACTTGTTAATGTACGACTAGATTTGGTATTCCAAAAGAAACTACAAATATGAAGGGCAATGTCTCCGTCAGCCAAGTGGCAGGACGTTAAGCTAGTTATAATGAGCAATAATTTAATTCATGACATGAAGCGATTTAATTTACTTATTTACTGATGCCTCACACTGTTTTAGGAGGGTAAGGTAGAGTAAAGTCGTAAATTATACAGTAAAAATCCTACACTTTATAGCATGATGAGGCTGCCGGTACCCCTCTTCTATGATACTTTAACTTGTTAACATACGACTAGATTTGGTATTCCAAAAAAAACTACAAATATGAAGGGTAATGCCTCCGTCAGCCAAGTGGAAGGACGTTAAGCTAGTTATAATGAACAGTAATTTAATTCATGCCATGAAGCGATTTAATTTACTTATTTACTGATGCCTCACACTGTTTTAGGAGGGTAAGGTAGAGTAAAGTCGCAAATTGTACAGTAAAAATCCTATACTTTATAGCATGATGAGGCTGCCGGTACCCCTCTTCTAAAATTGATACGTTCGTTAACTTGTTAATGTACGACTAGATTTGGTATTCCAAAAGAAACTACAAATATGAAGGGTAATGCTTCCGTCAGCCAAGTGGCCGGACGTTAAGCTAGTTATAATGAGCAGTAGTTTAATTCATGACATGAAGCGATTTAATTTACTTATTTACTGATGCCTCACACTGTTTTAGGAGGGTAAGGTAGAGTAAAGTCGTAAATTATACAGTAAAAATCCTACACTTTATAGCATGATGAGGCTGCCGGAACCCCTCTTCTATGATACGTTAACTTGTTAACGTACGACTAGATTTGGTATTCCAAAAAAAACTACAAATATGAAGGGTAATGCCTCCGTCAGCCAAGTGGCAGGACGTTAAGCTAGTCATAATGAACAGTAATTTAATTCATGACATGAAACGATTTAACTTATTTACTGTTCGATGTCGCCATGCGCTGGCTTGCACTGTTTTAGGACGGTAAGGTAGAGTAAAGTAGCGAAGTGACAGGAAGTTGAGCTAGTCATAATGGACAGTACTTTAATTCATGACCTGAAACGATTTAATTTATTTATTTACTGTTGCCTCGCACTATTTTAGGAGGGTGAGGTAGAGTAGAGTCGCAAATTGTACAGTATTGTAAATGATATCGGCAGCAATTTGCTGTAGAGAAGTAGGATATTCCGCTCGATTGGGTAGATGGGATCGAATTCTGAAGTATATTTGATACCAGCAAAATGCTCGTATGAGAGGGGGGTGCTCCTGTTAATTTGGCAATGTAATTAGACCCCAAAGCTTAATAGAATGCAATATTGTGGTCACCATTTCCATTCGTATCGAATATCATCAATAATCTTCCAATCCAATCAATTGAACGTTAAACATGAGATTTTACTTTTTCAATCAGCGTAATTTCTCCTACTATTCTAGGTTAGCTTTATCAAAAATTAGATGAGATCGATGGTAAAATTATTTTTCCATACTCAAACGCTAATTCATTTATATTGATTCCTGATACGGATGAAAATAAAGGCTTAATACAGTAGTGGTATCTTGAAAATCAATTATTTAGAGTAAGAAGAGCTCTGCAACTGGTCTTAGTCTGATATCGATTACAGTACATATGATAATCGATCTCCATTGACGCATAGAAAATAGGTGAAGATTTTCAATCCTACATGGATAATCACTAATTGTACCAATCAATCAATCATATTTGAAGAAAAGATGGGCCATTCGTAAAAGATTTTAACTTTGTTTATTTATATCAACGGGTGATAACTTGACGTATCACATAAAGGAAAACTTATAAAAACAAGCGAAACACGCGAAAATTCAACGAAATATATCGCGATTTGAAGTTAATAGAAAGTAAAACGCATTCATTTAATTTGATACTGTGCGGTGATTAGTATTGATTGTCGAGATAAACTTGCGATTACTTAAATAATACATTGATCTTGACTAAGCTGAAGTTATTAGTATTACTGAATCGCCCCAAATCGAAAAACGAGCTTAATATAAACCAAATAAGACTGATCCATTGGTACCTTCAAATGGTATAGTATTTTGGCATTAACATGGATGATTACATCCATGAATATATAAAAATGATAACATCATTCTTTTATCTTTATCTGCTTATAACATTTAGCCATTCATTGTTTCACTAATTTGCTTAATAATACTGTATTTTCCAGTTCTTCCTTGGCATATAAACATCGATTGCTCTAAGTTGCCTGTTACGTTCCATGCTTGAATATAAGGCGATTGAATGGTGTGAATCAATTGTAGGCTGACATTATCATAAAATTGAATTTTTCCACTTAATTCTTCAAAGACTGCAAAGTATTTCTTCGTGAACAAACTTTCCACCCTATAGATTTTAGCATCCAAATAGAACTGTTTTATAATGTCGCCATGGCTTTTACCCAATAATTGGCCGGTGTGGCTAAATACCTAAATTTACATAGTTAGAATTTGCAATAAATCAGTAATCATCCCGTCTTACACTTAAACTCGTAAATGAAAAGGGATATTTACCGTTGTTTCCTCATTTCTTTCAAATAGAAAGCATTCTTTATTTGCTTCTTCATTACAATATGCTACCTGTAAATAAATTGATGCTATCAATCGATCACGACCTTATTATCAGCACTTAGCATAAGAATTATCAGTAATCTAAAAATAAAAATAGAAACAAATATTCTGCATAATTGTTTATTATCTCAGAATGTGATAATCGTAATAAAGTGACATACAAATATGTTGGCAATTTTTTCACCCCATTGCTTTTTCATCATATCCAGACTTCGAGATGATAGCGACACATTTAGATTCTTGCTGCTGCTTTTCTGAGTTGGTAAGATGATTTTGCATACAATTCCGTCATCCTCCTTGTAAATATGCGATTTAAGTAATACGCAGTTGTTGACAGTATCTTCCAGTTTGTACCACTACAAGATAATAAAAAAACTGCAATGAACTTTATCTTAATTTTATTTTAGTTCTAAAAATTAAACATATCAAAAATTTATCTCCAGATCTAAAAGGCAAAATTTTCAATGTACTGATACTGTATTTCGTGGCATTTTACACACCTTAACTACACAATCGGCGCTTTCTTTTATTTTCTGGCGCGTAATCAAATAGTACTCATCGCAATAGATGATTTTAATGGACTGATAGAGATACATATCATCACCTATATCGGCTATCTTATGCTCTTGGCTATTCTTTACCATCATTATAAGCCAGCGATCACGATTTTCCCCTTTCTAATAATAGCATTAACAGTATCTTATCATTTTAATAATCAGTAAATAAATAGTTATAAAGTCATAGAATAGTATGGATACCAAATTAATCGTAATGGAAACAATTTAACATTATCAATTTATCCCTTTGAAATAAGCCTTCATTTACAGTATCTGTATCTCCATTATATTCTGTGTATTACCTTGATATAAAATATGAACATGTAGACGTTGTCTTCTTTCCTGTATCTAGACTTCCAAGTAACAATATCAGCTGGACTTTCTTCCCACAATGTGTACTTGAATTGTCCTTTTTGGCTAATTGATCCTAACACACTATTAAACTGCACAATCCCAAATATGCGATTAGGCGGATGTTTATTTGTACTGTAGTATTAAGATTCAATACGAAAATTAGGCTGCAAGTGTAAATTTCCTAATCAAAATATGCGTAATCTTGCCAAATATCTAGTATTTATACTCTGAACATAATTTTTAAAACGGATATCAATAACGATCGTTTTTAACAAAAATGGCAATTATCTCATATAAAAGGCAATAATTATCCCTTGCAATATAAAAATTCGAAATTTGTTATATCAGTATTTTATGCGGCACCTCAGTTACAACTATGTGGCAGTGTTCATTATTCCAATCGGTGAGAGACGTAATGCCAATCACTTTACATTTATACCACCGCGTTAAAATAACGGAATCAGTTTCACTGTATAAATAACAATTTTGATACTCTTGGTCTAACTTGTAGTCAATCGATAGATCAAGCGATTCGTTCCTGTATATCTAAGTTTACCGATAAAGAATAATGTTAGCTTATCTGCTGTAGTCAACTACGTACTTATGAATAGCCCTGAGTACTATAGTTTTATGCAACTCTTCCTCGCTACCTTATATAATAATAAATGTAATGGCTAACCATACATGATAAAGACAGCTTAAAATATAAAAATAATTAGCGATGTCAACTTACCTTCAGCTTTTTAATTCCCTTAGTTCTATTTTCGGTTAACTGAGCAACTACTGGAATTGAATTAATAAAGGAAGCACTGGAATCAATGATGATTTCTTGGCTATCTTTATCGGCATTGACAACATTATCGGTTAAAGGGCGGGCTTGAATGTTTCGCCATATTGTACTCTCAACTACAACAATCCAAAGAGGAAAAGTCGGATAATTCTCAAATTTATGATCCAATTTCAGATAGACTATATCAAAAAATATGTTGCTAATGCACGTACCATCTAGGCTGTATTGATATAAGCATTGAGTTCCGTGTTTGTTATAATCAAATAAATGGTAACTGCCAGGCATAAATCTAAGATTATGAGAAGAGTAGCTGCAACGGAGGTTGATGTAAGACTTGGCATGTCCATTAACGAATTTAATGAGCTAATTAAAGAGAAATACAAAATCCCATTAAAGAAGGATAGAACATCTTTAAAACAATTTTTAACCTAAATTGCAAATAGTAATGAAAATAAAGAATTCCTTCAGTTTACGGTTTTAAACTAACCGTGAGGTCATTTTCATGAGATTTCGGAATAACTAATAACTGCTGATCATCAGAAACGATCACATTAGAAATTGGCTTATCACTAATGTAAATGGGGTAGAAGAAATCTGTGAATCCTTCAAGAAAACTACAAGTTTTGCTATCTCTCCCTTCTTGAGTTAATAAACCTAAAACTTTCCCATAAATGACAAAACAGGCAGATTGTGTCTGATTACTATATTTGATCCTTTTCAATTGGTAATCATAGTTCGATGCAGTAGCCACGGTGTACCGGTCATCAACATGGTCAATAAATTCTGGTAGAAGGAATGTTTTTTCGCAATACAATTTCTCAACATTCCATATCTAAGAATTTAGACAATTACCACTACTGTTAAAAAGGCCATGTGTAAAACTTTTATTCATATATATGCATTAATAAGATTCAAATACCTCCATTTGACACTCATTAATCCAGCTTTTAGTAGACTGTAGTCTTTTATTTGAACTCCACCAGAAAGAAAGACTTTCACCATTGGAAGTAAATTCAAATCCTTCCAAACAATTCCAACATGAATTTAACTTCTCAGTTTCTTCTATACCGTATTCCTTAATATTCCACAGCTGAAATGGAGAATTTATTAGTCGTTTATTATAATTAATTATTGCTAAGATTTCTATATTTATAGTAAGTAATAAAGGCTCAAAATTTACCACTAAAATTGCGCTTATTCATAGGCGTAATTACGCTTATTCGTAAGAGCAAAATACACTGGTATGAATAAAATTTAAACTGCAGACTAAAGGTTAAAAAAATTATTGAGAATTACAGCTACATTGACAATATTGCCTCCTACTTGAATATCTTTTTTATTCACTGCAATCGTTAAAAGAACAGGGTTTTGACTTATAACTGGACAAAATTGTAACCATCGGCATTCAAGTGTAGGCGTCTTCACTCCAGCACAATTTATAAAAGGTACACGTTCATGAATGTCCATATTGTAAATTTCCCATTTCTTATTCTGCTTCTTCTGTAATAAAGATATTTATAAACGATAAAATCAAATATTCAGTATTGAATTCTAGCTTACACTTTCCTAAAGTATATAAAATTCTAGGAATTTTATTGATGAATACTATCATCAATTATCGAAACTTATCAATAATTAAGACTCATCGAAAGAAAATACTTTGAGCTAAGGTGGGGATAAAATAAAATTGTCTGCATTTATATTTTACCTCTACTAATATATATGAGCATGCCTAGTATATCAATTATATTATCTGTATCAACATTATTACAGTTTCTATGTATACTTTTATAATTTAAACAAACTAACCCTCACTGTAGCGTAGGCAATTAGCCTTCCATCGGCCGATATTCTAACTTCATGAATATATGCCTCTCCAATTGACAAACTGCATGCGGTTTTAAATGTTTCATAATCTTTAACCTTTATAAATTCAAATATGAAGTAAGTTTTACAATAGATAATAAGCATCTGGACTAGCTTTTTCTAATTTTTTCATTTTATAGTTAATATTTCTTTTCGATATCGCATACTATACTACCATGCATGCATACTGCATAGGTTATATTTATTTCTTTAAATCTGCTCACCATAATTGTACAATCACTCTTGCCATTATTTTTGGTATATGAAAATTTTAGATTTCCATATGCTGGATTTGAACAGCTTGGAACAACATCTTCCCAGCTTTTACCCATTATTTTAGACGCTTTCCACAGGCTCTGATCTGTGTCGTCATCAGGATACCTACAATTAAGAGAATAGTCTGCATTAATCAAAAAGTATGGTGAAGAAACTTAATAAAGGTTATTAATCTAGTAGCCACATGGTTACATGCAGTACACAACATTAATCAACACATACATATGATATCAGATGGCGATTATGACGATTAAAGTGAACAGTTTTAACTCTTTATTATAATCAAACGGTTGAATTGCATTATATAAGATTAAGACTCAATGTAAAAAGAGATCATTTTCACCCAGTAATCATCCAGCGGCGACTTCTATTGCATTTTATCTGATCACATGCCAGCTTTCTGGCTTCCTTGAGAATACTGCTGTCTTTTTTAGCGCAGTACAACAGAAACTGTATAAAATCTCCATTATCAGTATCTAAGTAAGACTCGTAACGATGTAATAGCCGCAAAAGTTCTTCAGATTTTGTAGCATCCTAACCATGAGATACAATTAACATTAATGCTTAATACTTCTATACCTGAACGATTTTAATTGACTATCTTTAATCTAAGGTATAATTACTATTTCTGCAACTTAATATTACCTGTCGATTTATTTTTAAGTAGCTAATGTAATCTTGCAAATCTTCACGCAAATTAAATAACTCGACAATTTTGAGCTTTTCTATCATCCAACGATAATTTGACATTATTTCACGAAGAAATTGATCATCTGCTGCTTGAATTGCGTGATGCACAAGATGCTGGAAGTAATAGCCATCATCAAGATATAAATGCCAGTCTCTTTTGCATTGCAGAGCATAGCCTTGAATAAGGGAGTGATTTAAATGACGCCAGTAACTTTGATTGCTTTCCTGTGGTGATGGTGATATTCGCAGATAATCAACCATGAGATCGTGTAAAACACAGTAAAGTCTATTGGTTGGATCACTTGGGTAAAGATCGAGAATATACATATATATAAGTTTGAAATGAATAATAAACAATATTATTAATGCCGGATCGAGTATTGCCGGTATGTAATGACATGCTTAAAAATATTACTACGGCCCCTTCGTTTCGGTAAAAGTAACGTAGTAAACCACAATGGTAAAATACTTAATTTATAATATTGGTAATCATTCTGCATCAGTGGAACAGTAACTAGGGTATAATTATGACGTTATGTAGATTTGATTAGAATAACTTATAAGCTACCAATATTAGTACCAGTCGACAACTTAGCTCAAAATTTCCTGGGCAGATATATTCCAGTAATTCTACATTATCGATGTTGACTTAAACGTCAATTACTCAGCAAGAGCGCTTACCAACTGATTGTTCTATCTACGTAATACTATGTGATCCACCACGGTGAATCACTGAAACTTGTTAAACTAATAGGAGGGTAAAGACAGCTTAAATATATACTTTTGCAGTACAGAAAATTTTGATGGCTTTGGCAGTTGCCGGTAGTAAAATACCGGTAAAGTAATACTATGAAAGCTGATAATTTCGTCATGGATCTTTTCTCACCTACTATCACTCTCAATAAGTTTCAACAATGACTTGCTACTCAATTCTTCCAGCAAAGATTCTGCTGTGATTCGATCACATCTCCATAAAGCCATTATTGAGTTAGTCGGAATGGCAACTTTTTTGAAAACACCAAGGAGTAAAAACAGCCGTCGTGCTTCATCGTCTAGCTGTTGAATACTCAAACTAAAAGTACCATATAAATTGAATTCATAGTTAGCTAATCTATTTCGATTTCCTTTCCTTTCGATAACCGCAACGGCATCTATCCATTGCTTATCAGAATTTAAACGTAAACCACCAATTAATGCGATCGCTAATGGTAGTCCACCACAGCTTTTAATAGCTCGTATAACATAAGGGTTCTCCTGCAAATTCTTTACATCTTCAGCACGACGGTACTTTGCTAATAGTTGCACTGCCTCATCATCTGTAAATCGGTCCTATAGCAAGAAAATTTGAGTCAAGCACTAACTTGATAGAGATTATTAATTGAAGGTAAAAACTGTATTAATATTTGGACTAACAGACGCCGGGATACAATAGTGATCGAGCTCATTATCAGGATAGATAAATCGTGAGGTGATAATTGACTTTTTTGCAAACTTTAGATATGGGTAGTAAGATTCTCTCCAAACATCGTCAAAAACGAACAAAGCCATCGACGTTTCATAATTATCTACAAATTTTATAGCAAAAATGCGGTTATTTACAATTTTCATAATCGTTGCGATGAGCTATATCTAAGAATTTCAGAATTACGATATTATTGATATACCATTGTAAGCTAGATTATTGCTAATCAATTAGAAACATGACACTATTCCGTACTTAACTATAACTGTTTAATTTAATTTGAATTATTTATTGTTACAATAATGGTAGCTATTTGTACCATTTACATACTTTCTAGATAGAGAGAGAGATAAGACTCAATTTCCTCTAAATCCTGAGGTACTTGTTTCCATTCAATGCCAAGCTTAATGCAAAGACCTTTCAGCTTGCTGAATAATTTATCTTCACTGATATCACCTTTATGATTCAAGACATAAACGACCCGATCTTAGACCTCAAAAGATTTCCTACGTTAGATGAATACTGGAACACAACTTTATGCTTATAAAATAAGTTAGCGAATTTTAAACAACTAAATATGGATAAATGAACTAGCTAAACTAAGCTATTTGTAGAAAATCAAAGAAATCTAGTGAGATCTGTGAGATGTAATCAGAATTCTATAATTTAAATTTAGTACAAACGAATAAATTGCTGATTTCTCACTCATTCAAAAAAGGAATTATGAGCACTTGAATGTACACTAAGCCTTATAATTGACAAAATAGATGAAACTGTTTATTTTGAATAGACCGTAAATATGCTGGGGCAGTATCACGAAGGAATTACGACATTATCTTCAAAAATCTTTAATCATTAACCATGTATGTCACTCTATTATTCAATTTATATAAGACTAATTAATAGAAGTGCCCCTCGAACTAATTTTATCCAGTTCGTTTATTTATTTATCTACAAGTCCGAAGCTTATAAAGCATACACATACAGTATATAATTGAAAATACCTTAAACATAGCAAACGTTATCATTTCATCTCAATGTTCATAATCAACTAAGATACCATAAGTATAGGTAGAATTATCATTCCATGTCAATCTAGACTATCAACTGTAAGGACTAAAGTGCATAGACAGAATTTCATACCTATTTTAACCCAGTAAACACCGCCAGTTTCAAAGCATCGATCAACTTCCGCAGTATGTCTGATAGCTTGACTCACAGCAATTGTTTTGCCGCTTCCAGCCATACCGTGAACCAGAATACGTCCGCCAGTTTCGTCAATTTCCTTCAATTTACTTGATATTACAGCTATAAAATCCGTACGTACTATATAATGACTTGTCGGAGTTGGAGGAACATCACGAAGGTCTAAAATTGAAATTTTTTGAATTATGTAGGATTCATACTCGTATTCAAGCTAAGTTAATACTTATTATGAATTTGGTGCTGAAATGATTACGATTTCAGCAACTAAATAGCAACGTCAGTTTCGTTAACTTGGCGCTATAAGTTTTAAGAATTAAAGCTTTACAGCTTCAATAAGTAAAAAAAATATAGTGATACTGTTTCAATTGTCAATTATTACGCGTAGAGAAGCAAACTTATCCATATTCAGATTATCACATTTAAAAATTTGAAACAATGTCTGCTATATAATACTAAAAAATTTATAACCAACATTGTAATCTAATGTTACGGCGTAATTTATATAAAAATAATTCCCATCTGTGCTGTAATAATCAAATAAAAAATCTCTGTGCACAGCAAATTCTATTGCAATGAAACGATACTTAAATAACGATATAACCAGCTAGTAAAGCAGTAAATATCACTACAATACTTAACGATTGTAGTTCGACGTTGGCATAAAAATAGCTATAGAATTAGTGAGAAACATTAGCGATAAAAACTTGGGAAGAATTTTAAAACAACTAACTACATATACAGTAATAAAAAGGGCCGATATAGTACTCTGTGAATAACGATTGAGCAAAGTTAGCAGTAGCAGAGATTAACAGTCTTTTCCATTTTTAAAGATTAAATATTTTATGAAAGACTAAAAGTTACTATGCTAATAAATTAAAATATCGTTGTAGCTATCGTTGGTAAGTTTTTATAGCTCAATCAAAAACAAAACATTCTACTTATTTATAGGCCAATTAAGTAATGAAAGAAGGAAGAAAGTAAGCTCCTTTAAGATACAAGTGACAGAATATTTAAATCGATCGCGAATAATACTAACCTACTGTCGGCATTACTAATACATCAGGATCTTCCTCAGCTTCTTTCTTCAGCTGTAAGCCAATATTTTGTATGTACTCAGCTCCATGGTTTTGCAAAATGTAGCAAAATTGATTAAAGTCCTCATCTCCTCGACGTTTGAGTATTATAATAAGCTTATTTGCTTTTTCTTTATTGGACCGGCAGTCTCTTAGAATGTCAACCTCTTCATCTGATAGGATTTGTTTAGCTCTAAGATCGAATAAGATATCCTCTACAGGAATGTCGTTAATAATCTCATAACGATGTTTTTCGATGACCTGATTAACATGTTTGCTTATCCCCATGCTCCTTAAACGTACATTATCTTCAAAGCAAAGAGTCTTTAATAAGCCGGTTTGATTGCACCAAGTATTTTGTAAATCAGTTTTAACCAACTGAGTTCCTAATGATACTTACCAATAATTCGACCAATTTCCCTATCTAACGACAGTGTCAGATTAGTTGCTGTTTCATATTAGTAAAAAAATAATCTTGACAGATTATTATTACTTTACTCAGCTATGCAGTTGCTACCACTTATACGTTGAGTCAGAAATGCGGCAGACTAGGTCTTAGTTGCAGCAAGTTCGTTCAAGACAGCAACGTGGGAAAATAGAAACGCTGATGACTTTAGCTGTTAGTATTACTAAAAATACTTGGACAATTACTAAAGACCGCAGAATCACCTAACACGGAAAAGTCAGACTAATTAAATGCAGGTATATTAATCATAATATACGGTAATCAATTAGTATGCACAAACTACATGGTATAACAGCTATACCCACCCTCAATCAGCACTTGCATAATTAGGTAATAATCATCTCGGATCTAGGATATGAATTCATGACCAGGCACAAAAATAGACTAAATATAGCCGATCAATCATGTGATCAAATGCCTATTATATACCCTAATGTTTGAAATAAATTTTAAAGAATGTATTAGCTGCGCCGCAGCAAACATCAAAATAGAGGATACGTTATGGATGTAGACTAAAGCAGAATTTAGTTTAATGTGATTTTTATATCATTTAATTAGCCAATATAATAAGCGACAATTACTTTATTTTTTGGTGCTATAAAGATGCTTTTGGATTTTGAGTGAACTAGAAAATTTAACTTAATTTATTCAATTAGACCGTTTCTAAGAGGATCGATTGCATTCTAGCTAATAATGACGTTGAATTAGTGAATGTTAGTCAATTTACATAACCATTAGTTTAACCATAAACTTAAAAACATCTTACTTGCGTAAAAATCGATCTGTGGTTGGATCAACAAATAATAGTGAGAGTAAACTATCAAGATCACGATAATCCATTAAAAGGTAATGTTTAGATCTCAATAAAGATACACCAGCTTATGAATAGCGAGTAGGGAATGCGAATTATCTAATTACAATTCGAATCATCGTGATTGTAACTTATTTATGGTAGATTGTAAATTATCGTAGAAATGTACCGTGATAGGACATATCGTAATCTGACTATTCTGTATTAATCATCAGATGTCTATGTTCGTAAATACTGTTGTCTACATTAGGGAGCAGTAGCTAAAATTAATGTCTATTTCAGTGAATGATTTCAAAGTTAATCGTACTACTTATGATTCATGAACTATTGAGGAAGAGTATATAAAAGCAGCATATCGTGTAATAAAGTTAATTCTTAAATTTAGTGTTTAACGTAAAATACGAGGCCTTCAAGTTTTTGTGTAGTCTGCTAGTAGAGCAAAAGTGTTCCTGATAGAGCAGATATCTTTCCTTGATACGTGATTCAAGGAATTGACTTATTATTGATCGTAAATTACGTTATCTTGTTGTAAAGCTGTTTTGTAACAGGTTCATTGTCAATTTCTGCAATTCTCGTATCCGTAAGTAGCCTTATTAATCTGTCTCGAGCGAATAAGATGACGTTAGCTCCATTTATAGTTAGCCCTTAAAGACAAAACTAAATTATTAACTGTCACAAAACAGCTTTGCAAGAAGATAACGTAATATACGATCAATAAGTCAATTCCTTGAACCACGTATTAAGGAACGATATCTGCTCTATCAAAAACATTTTTGCTCTACTAGCAGACTACACAAAGACTTAAACGCCTCGTATTTTACGTTAAACACTAAGTTTGAGAATCCACTTTATAACACGATATACTGCTTTTATATACTATTCCTCTATAGTTCATGAGTCATAGTTAGTACGATTAACTTTGAAATCATTTACTGAACTAGATATTAATTATAGCTACTGCTCCCTTAATGCAGACAACAGTATAATAGGGAATGCAAATCATCTACTTACAGTTCGAATCATTGTGATTGTAATTTACTTATGGTAGATTGTAAATTATCGTGGAAATGTTCCGTGATAGGACATATCGTAATCTGACTATTCTGTATTAGTCACCAGATGTCTACGTTCGTAAATACTGATTAATTTCAGTACGTGTATAAGTGTCACTGTCATAAAAAGTCAGTGCTATATTAAAACACAGTATATCCAAATTAGAAGTTAACTAAATAAGGATAGGCTAACAGAATTATCCTAACATAGATATTTCTACTCTAATACAGTACTGTATATAACACTGTCACATTAACTCATTTGAACTTATATACACAATTACAATAGATATGCTAAGTATAAATATTTTTATCATGACAATTCATGCGTGCATATGTGTGCAGGTGTGTTCAAATTGCTGCCTACAGCAACCAGTAAATGATGGATAGGAAGATAATCTTCATCATGTTTGTAATTGGATCGATTATTCTAAATATTGCGGATTATTATAGGTTAATTTTCATAATGATAGCAATAAGTTCATGAACTTCAGCAATTAGTAAACCACTATATATAGCATTAATATTTGGTGACTATCAAAATGTTAAGACCGACGATCACAGATTATCATAACATATCGCAATATTAGAAGTTACGGAAGTTATAAAAGGTAAGATGACTGTCAATCTACTCCCTATTCTTGTTTTACCGCAAACAATCTAATCTTGCTTCAACAAATGAAATTCCTTAATATTTATTAAGCTGTTAGCAAGAGTGTTGTATAATATCCCCTTAAAATTCAGCCATGGGCGTAACCGATCAACTTCCGCGTTTAAATCATTTTATTCAATAGGATCTTTAAAGTTTCACTGAGATCATAGCTTATTTTGTGCTATTTAGGCCACTTCCATACTTTTATTACACCACAGAACCAATAAGTCCTTCTTTTAAGACGCTAATTTACTCTAAAATTTCTAGTTTCGACCATCAGCTACACACTTAAATATAAATTAGTTGATCAGGACTTCCAGTTTTATCACCGATAACAAAAGAAATTTTTCATTAGCATTGATCTTTTATAGAAACCATCTGAGTGAAGGAATACAATTAAAGTGCTTTACATCTGTCTACAATACCAAGAATGAGATGACGTTTTCTATATCATGTCTATTGTATTATGATTAACATAATTGCTACATTTTAAAGCTAAACTACAAGTTGTATAACAACAAGCGCTAAAGTTGATTTCCCTTTTTTAAACAATTATATCGTATCGATATACTAATCGCTTTTATCATGATCAATAGTACTGTCATTCTAAGCTTATTTATTCGTTAATTAATTGGATGTTTATCGTTTTCAGATGATTCTGTATTGAGAATGCGGAAGGATAGCAGTTTCCGGCGAATAGAATATTGCCATTCCAGCATCTGGATTCCACATTGATTGATATGTAATTGATCAAATTCAAAATGATTTATGAAGGCAGGCAAAACACGGTTATTATCAATAAATGAAGTGTTAACGGCCTAATTTTACATGTTTATCGATGTATAATTCATTATGTTTATGTAAATTTTACGTCTTTTACAAGTTTTGACCAATAATTAAAGACAAAGCCAATGTTTACAATAGAGCTTATTTCATGGATATTATCTCTACTGAAATAGCTCTACTTTTAATATTTGGATGCATTATTTTTACATCAGATACTAGCCGGATAATCTAGAGGCAAATACATTTATTTATGTATAAGGCACATCAATAAATTGCATTATATTTTAATTACTGAATTATGCCTTAAATTATAGCATTCATCGAGCAGTTACAATTAAAATTACCAAGGAAAGAACCTAGTAGGTTTGACATTCCCAGAAGATTTATTTCTATCATATACCATCTTCTTTGGGATAATCAACAACCAGGTAAAAATATACTTCAAATCGGTGAACTCAAGCTTAAAATGGTATAAGCCATCTCTAAGCATACTTCGAAGAAGAACTTCTATCCTAAATATGGATAATACTACCATTACTACCATTACTACCATCAATAACAGCATTGCTATTATTAAAATTCATTCTACAAACACTTTAACCTTCCTTTATTGCTTACCCGTATTTCTTGGCATTTTCATTCTCATTTCCAATGGATTACTGATTTATCTTATTCTTACGCGACGGCATTTGTGGAAAAGGGATCATATTAGATTAATTAATATGTGTATTGCTGCCCTATTCTTGTCAATATTTTATTACATTCCACATCATTGGATTTCCAAGAATAAGACGACATTTTTATATCATTTACAATATCCAATACGTGACTTTCTTATCGCCTCTTTCAATTACCATTTAACTATCGATGCGCTGGAGAAAACCATTATTATTGCCTATCCAATCAGCCATGATCGCATTATCAAGACTAGTCGTGCATTTACTAGCGTAGCTATCGTTTGGTTGGCTTGTTTAATCATCGGCTTTTGCCCTATATTTACTTTCCGCAAATTTAGCATAAACAATACCTCTGCAATCTACTCAGACTTGGGTATCATCCGCTGCAATTATGTATTTTATGTTGCTTTCTATACCTTTTGCTTTATTATTCCTATAGTTATCATATTTTGCTGCAATATCTATCTTTGTATCGTTAGTTTGCGACATTTAAGAAAAATTCAACGTTTGGCAAAGGCGGCTAATAAAGAGAGAGGAAGAAGACATAAAATTCGCCTAGCTATTAAGCAATTTCGAGCTGTCAGAGTAGTCATCCTTACAACGGGAACTTTTATGATGTTAACTTTTCCTTATTATATTTGTATCTTGATTGGCTTTAGCTTGCATACCAGCCGTAATCCGGCAACAATTCTCGAACAAATACTTCTTTCAAAGCAAAGCGCTTACTTTGCATTTACTACGAAAGCTGTTCTACAAGAAATTGCCTTTGCATTTCCAGCGATTAATCCAATTATTCTTGTTCAATTTACGCATGATATTCGAATTGCTATGAGTAATTTTTTACATTTCACCTCAAGATCAAGAAGGCTGCCAATTAATAAAACATGATTATATATGTGCGTAATCTATCGTACTTATTTTGCTTTTAAAACTCTTGATATTACCCAGCTAAGTTAATTCCAGCATTTAGGGATAATAATAAAAGTCTCCTGATACTGAGCCAAAAATTCAATCATTCTTTTAAAATTCATCACAAAACTTGATACCATAAAGAGTAAGATCAAAAAGTGATTATCACTTCGCATAAGAAAGTATAAAATTATTAAGCTGTTCTTTTAATCATTTTTCATGATATTTTGATGTCAATAGCCTATTATATTTATTATCGTATGTAAATTATTTCTTGGAAACCTATAAAGCGATTATAAACAATTATGGTCTTCTCCTGATAGCGATAATTATTGACTTTAGCAAATTCAATTAAGCGTTGTTCGCTGAATTATTCTTCTAGTCCAAGAGCGTAATAATTTCCAGGACGATTTATATAAGTTACATTTGTAAATCTGTCTTTTACAATAATAATTATTTATATTTACCTACTTTTCAATACTTTAAATCTTCTAAACCTTTTCGTCTTAATCTAAAGTTTTTACAGCATACATATTGCTGAAATTTTTAATACCCAATACGTTAGTAAATACCCGTATATTATTGTAGTGCAGTGTTATGGTTCTAATTCCTCTTTGGCTTTCTTTATTATTATGCTGGTTTTTAGTCTTTCGAATAGGCTATAATTACTAAATACCATTGTCATAACATCTCCACTCTTAAACTTAACATTATATTGGTAATGAATGTATGGGTTTTTAACCCTACTTTATTAACATATACAGTTCTATACTACATAGTATTCGTGATAGTCTTATTGGTCATCATGTATAAATGATAACTATCAATGAAACGAAAAAAATATAAGGATTTGTATATTCTTTTAAATTTATGAGCTTACAATATAGTTGCAGTGGTCTAATGAACATTGCACAATACTACGAAACTTTATAGAAAAAGAAGTATCCCTACATTAATTTATTTGTAAGTTGCGTTAAAGGTGATGATAGTATCATTATTCCCTAATAAAGATATGAAAGTTTGCCATATTTCTGATAATCTATTTTAATGTATATAATGTAAGCTCTTCTTTTGGATTCGAATATAATAATTACGTGATCATGTTATTAGACTGTTATTAAATATGAAGTACCATATTTAATATGAAATTAGAGATGGCTGGGATATATCAATACGTAGAAGATATCAGACAATCTTAATTTGAAATTGAATAATCAGCTAACGAAAACATTAACACTTCAGAATATATTTGGTAATATCTCAACGAAGAATTTTCAGAAAATTAAGTAAAAGTCTATAAAAATAAACTTTAGTCATGTGTGATAAAGAATACTCTAAGCTGTTGTCACAAAACAACTTTCGTGATCGTACCTAAACTAGTCTATCTACTCTTATGGTTCTCCGACTAACTCCGGAGATCCTCAGTAAGGGAAAACTAACTTATTCCTATACTATTGTAATCGAGTCAAACGATAGGTTTAATATTTTTAATCACACGACAGTATAACATTACAGTTATTCTACTATCGTAAATTACTACTAATTATACGCAAGGAGCATCAAGCTCCATAACAGCTGTCTATTGAATTATCAAAGAATTAAAATCTTAAAGCCTATTTGACGACATCATTATAATTTCGCTTATATAACATATTTTTCTTCCAATAACATAAATATTATCTAAACCATCATAAGACTTTTACTTCACACTCTGTATATTTTTAATTAACTAGTATTAACGCTTTAAAAGTGGAAATGTTAAAGCGATTTTACTAGAAGGAGAAATTTAGAATTTCAGTCTAATCACATATGAAGTCAATATGATTTTCTTGTCTTCCGGTAGTCCAGCTGTACATCATCCATAATGTTTTAGTTAATACGAGCCCATAAAGGTAATTCTATAAACTTACTGATATCGAAAGTATTACTAAATACTTTTTGTAGACCTAAAGTAGAGTTATATATATGTTAATTATTTAATAAATGACAATATTACCGAAATTCCAGAACCATCAATTGTTAATTGTTTAATTAAACTCCTAAATGCTACACCTATGTAAGGCTCTTATTCGACGAAGAATTATTTGATACCTTTTAATAACAAATGTCTAATCCTACATCATTAGCTTCAAACTAGCATTATCGTCTATCATAAATTTAGAAAACTCTAGAAATCGAGTAGATTGTACGTATATGGTTAGCGCATAAAGTAGTGCATAATTATGTGAATGTTTCTCAATTCGAAATAATTTTATTTAACAAAAATGACAAAACCAATTAAAGCATACGATGCCGCAATTCTTCTTTGTCTTAAAAATTAATTAAGAACGAAATTACCGATTGTTACAGATCTAAATTTGTAATAAGGAAAAGTAGAACTATTATAGATTTTAAATATTACGAGCCTACTGTCATGTTTGTCCTTCTCGATATCTACCTACAGTACAACTCTAAATACTGACGATCACCTATTTGTCAGGAGGAAAAGTAAACGCTACTAGTCTCTCTTAAATATAATTGAATTCAAGCTTTTATTGAAAACTCATTAAATTTTATAGCAAATCTATATAAACATTAATGATCTGGTTGTCGATAATATTATATAATTACGGAGTTATCTTTTAAAATATGTAACATCTTACAGATAAATTGATGTAAACACATTTCTAGATAATTTATTTTATAGAAACGATGTTATGACAGCTATGCAAAAGTTACTACACAACAACGATCCACGAATCATTCAGTTACTCTTTGAACATCTAGTCACGATATCCTAAAATAACAAATCAAATATTTGTTGGCAGCGTTAGATTAGATTAGAATATGATTTTCATTAGACATCTTTGCTTTGCATTTTATGCTGTAAATGTAGAAGTTAAGAATGAAAAAGGAATTGCAATTTATAAATATGCCTTAAAAATAATAATTTTAACATTTAATACCTAATGATTATTTCCTTTAGACTACAGAATAGGAATAATGTTATAAACAATCTAAGATCATGACTTAACTTCCACTAACTGCATCGCAAGTATTAGCTGTATGAGTGATATTAAAGAGCAACAACTATTCTGCTTGCTTTATGTCATAAATAGCACAATAGGGTCTACCGATGGTTGAAATAAAGCGGCTCGAATCATAATAACAATAAGCTACAGCACTAGTTTAATTTAAATAGAGGGTATCCTTTATCTGGACGATATTTAATTCAATATAAGCCTATTTCACAACGCTATAGGACCAATAAGATCTACCGCAAAATGAAAATATTGACTATGAATTCAATATATTAGAATTCTTGGCTTCTTGATATTGAATAATAGATTAGATTTGATTTATAGCTATTTTATGCTATTTTGTAGTAATTAACGTTGTTCGTCGTAAAATTTAGCCTACTGTGGCGTCTTTCAATAAAAATAATAATTTTCTAGATGTACCGTATTGCACATGTTTCCCGACGTTAATAATAAATGCTATAATAAACATTAACTGTTTTATTTTTGGTTATAAACCCTAGATAGTGGTGATAAATAACTCTTGCGACATTTCTGATTAAGATAAATATTCTATGAAAGTTTCCTAATGCAAAATCAACTAATGTTTAAATTAACAAATAAATTTCTGGAATCGATATTGCCGCTCCCTTGTGTGCTTATAATGTGAAATAACTTCCTTCGAAAGAGAAACTATGTCAATTGCACTAAAATATTATAGCCTGCTATCAATATCCAATTGTGTATAAGACAACTGCGATCAAAAAGATATAAATGATTGTTAAACTGATTCTATTGTCTGTTATTATTTGGAAGCGTATTATGTTTTGCCAATCAGTTAATTTCTACACGTACATGCCACACCGTATATTGCATAATTTATAGTTCATCTTACCGTATGCAAATTTACTCAACCTTTCAGAAATTTTTATTACGAAAATTTGCATTTGTATGCAGAATTTCTATTTACAATAAAATGACAAATAAATATTTTAAAAACTAACTGATTTATCATCGCTCAGCAATTCCACTCCTCCTCATTCTTAATTAAAATTTCTATATTTTGAATACTATCTATTTTTATTATCAACGAGAAAGCATAATATCTCATTAATGTAAAACATAAAATGGTTAGTAAAAGCGAAAATAGTTATCAAAAGATTGATGACACTCTGTTAACACAAATCATGGCTCTCTTTCACCAGCCAGTCGATCCATCTTCTCTTGCTATTACTCGTATCTTTTACGGTATGTACTATTACATTTACTTCGCTAAGTGCTATCATGTAACAATAGATCAGTATCCTATTTTAAGGCTTTTCGAAATATGTTCGTTGGGCTTTTATAATAAGATTTTCTAACTACCGACAGGATTGTTAATGATGTTTGATATCACGTTAGAGCGTGGAATGGCGATTATCAATGTAAAATGGGGCAATCCAGATTCTTGTATATTCCCACTATTCGATTTTATAAAACCGTTATCATCAGATTGGATGCATATGTTATACTTATCGATGATAATAGCTTCATTTTGCATTTGTATTGGTCTCAAATATCATTTTATGACGACCTGGTTAGCCATTTGCTATTGGTACATTATCTTATTAGACAAGACCGCATGGAATAATCATACCTACCTATTGGGCCTATTTGCCCTGTTTTTTTCGGTAACAGACGCGAATCGATGGTGGTACGTAGCAACTAAGATTATAATTTCAGTGTAGAATATCCTAATAAGCATCAAGAAACCAGAACTTATAAAGCTGCAGCATGGTTGAGCGATACTACTTAGAAATTAGCAGAACTAGATTGATAATTTTCTAGTAATTCTATACCGATAGAACAATATTTGACAGAATGGCATGCAGCAATGCACAGCGGAATCCTAATTCTATACTCAATCGAAAGGTTTAAGCGTTAAAAAAATTACATTAATCATATTTATTGAGCAGCATTTTATAAATGTCCCATAAGTACGATGAATTAATCATAGATAGCTCATTTCCTTCTTCATACTATTTTCCCAAATTAGTGATTTCACATGAACAAGTAACTCTAACAAAGCGTTAAATGATAAAATAGTGTTTTGTAATCTCTTGTAATCATAATTGAATCTTGAGCGTACAACAATCGAAAGAATTTAAGTTTTGGAAAGATCAAGTTTATAACATTTATTGAGTAACATTTCAATAATGTACCGTACGCGTTAGTAATTAGTCGTAGCTTGGCTAATTCTTCATACTATTTTTCGAGAATCAGTGATTTAGCATAGCCCGAATAAATAACTCCAACAAAGTACTAAGTAATACTAAGTGAAATTAGTATTTTTAATCTCTTAGCCAAAAAGGTTGAAATTTCTAACGGAATCTGTTATACCAAGAACTATCAAATATATGTTTGTAATTTCAGGACTATTACAGTATATTTCAATGGATATTTTTAAAATAAATTGGCCTAAGATTAATAGTACGATCGTGATTTCATTCTCATAACGCTATTTCATATCCGGTGTTTAACTTCAGTAACTGTGAATTTAAGAAACTAATGCTAAATGTGGGAGCAATAACTTAGATACTGTAAATATGAATTAAATTTCTTTGCTTGATTTTAATCTCCAATTCTTTTCGTTAATTTTCGTAGGTCTGTTGACGGACTATTGGATAGAAGTAAATGCAATACAGCTATTCCTCTTTGGCAATTGCTTCTATTTCGATTTCAAGTAAGTTTTCCGTATACAATATTTCTAGAAAGATTGACTAACGTAGAGTAAACTATCATAAGAAGGTAATTCATTATATAATTATTAATGAAGTATAAGGAGTAAATTACAGAAAAGTAAGTGATAAATTAAGCAGGTTAGATCTGATGTTGTTAGTAGCTAAATTTGTTAAAACACATACAGTACAGCTCTCTTTCAGCAAATTGACTCACACTTTTAGACGAAATTTTTACTTTTAAAATAGATTTTTATGGTCTATTTCTACGCGGGCATCAAAAAATTTCATCCAGATTGGATTTCTGGCCATTCAATGAGATCGTTAGCAACGCATTGGATCTTTTCTCCCTTTCGTACTTTATTGACCATAGAACAAATCAACTTACATATTGTCCATCATTGTGGTTTAGCATTCGATTTATTTGAAGGATTTCTACTTTATTTTAATACAACAAGGCCAGTTGGTCTTATCTTAGGCTGTTATTTTCATTTCACTAATGCTTGGATTTTCCAAATCGGAATATTTCCATACATTATGCTAGCTACTCTACCTATATTTTGCAATCCTGACTGGCCCAAACATTTTGTACGCAAATTACGCGGACACCGGCAAAATTATTTAGTATTAAATCGTTATTTATTTCTATCATACCGCTTCAACAATAGTCTAAATCTTGGCGATACGACGATAAATGATGGACTTGAAAATCAGCTCATCAAGAATTATGACTTTACGATGCCTTACTGTTCAAGCAGAAGAAAAAGTTCATTAAGTAAACGAAATTACATCACATTCCTCTTTTTCAGTCTCTATGCGGTGTTACAACTTTGCCTGCCATTTTCTCATCAAATAACAAAGGTTATAACAACACTAAGACGCCACAATTATTATGTTTCCCAGCTAGGGCTGTTTACAGTCTATCAGCTCTTTATTTAGTTTGCCCAATTTTAGAATAGGATTGCTTAACCAATTATGTAGTCAACATGTAATGCGCAAAATTATATTGCTAGTTAATTATATACTTTATGCTGTAGTAATTTTTCGAATCGATCATCCTTTCGCATAACTTAGGGTTACATCGCTTGGGATGGACATGGTTTATACGGTTATTCTTGGGATATGATGATTCGTACATGGATCACTCCATATACTAAAATAACTGTAGTAGATAATGCTACTCAACAATATTATGATTTAAAGCCGAATGTAAGTATAAATTTGTACTATGAAGGTTGGTAAAGTATTAGCAAACAGTTTTTACAAGAGAGGATTGATCAAAAGCTGCAGTTGGCCCTGAACTGCATTTTATGCATAGAGCAATGCATAATATCAAATATGTGCACAATAAGAAAGTTAGAACCAATACTAGAATTTCCAATGTTGGATAAGATATTTTATTCGATTTTAAAATCTCAATAATGTTAAACGATAGTCTCATAGCTGCCTCAAGTACGGTATGATTGAGGGGAAACATTTGGGCCGAAAAATATAGAGTTCTATTTTTAAGTACATCAGTAATGTAAATAACTTTACACAATCAAATGCAGTACTTACTACTAACAAAATCATGTACTGCAGACATACCATATACGTAGAATATGCAGATGAACCAGTTTCAGTGAGAAGTATTTACTTATGATGTACAGTATAGTATATTAACTTGTTGACTTGTTATATTCCTGGTCATAAAAGCATGGGTCCGCGCTTGCTATTAGAGAAACAATATTACCATTATTTCCATTCTCACGGATGACGACAAGAAGCACTGACTAGTTTTAAGTGATCTACTTGTTTACCATATACGATGTGCTGAATATGCAATACGATACGCTGATCATGCAATAAAACTCTTTTTATATAAATCCAAATATTTAGACCTTTATTCACAATATACCTACGATCAACTTTCGATGGGATTCTCACCCAGACATGATGAAGCAGTATGCCATGTGTATTGCCCGACATGCCAAGAAATTTGGCGTCAAGAAACCTGCAGTTTATTTTGATATATGGAAATCGCTAAACTATCGATTCCAACAACGGTTAGTCAATTCAAATATTGATTTGGTATCAGCTGAGTGGTCACCATGGAAAGCGACATCGTGGATCATGCCTCATTTAAATAATTTAACATGGTGGACATCCGAAGAAATCGATATGAAAATGAATTTATTGGATAAAACTTATAATTCGTCGATAAATTATATTGCTGATTTTCCAGGATTCAATATAAATAAGTTTATACCTGTAGACTATCGCGCTAATGTGACGGTATTACATGGACAAATTCAAATTCAATTACATAATTATAAAACTATATTAATGAAAAATCAAAGTTGCCTATTACCTAGTAACTCAACGCATCAAATTACCGTTATTTCTAATCAACCAGCAGTCTATTATTACCAATATGAAGACATTTCTTTTCAAAATAAGACCACTGTACACAAAGAGCATAAATTAATATTGAAGAAAATACTAAACGATAGCCAGCGATCGCGTATGCTGATTGAAAATTCTCTATTTCATGCAGTCCATCATTATTTCTATCTTAAGAAACGCGTCTATAACCGAATAATTATTAAGACCGTTGCTGCACTAGATAATATATTGCATGAAATTCAATCATTCTTAAGCTAATAAGCCTCATCAAAATTTTTTGCTCCATGTAAGGGGAGTAACTCAAGTTGCAGCTTGCGCATAACACAATTACAGCATACACACTAGAGGCAAAATGATTAGCATGTATTTTACTAGTATTAGGTAGAACGGACATTATCATTTGCTATAAATTTTTATTACATCTCTACGTTTATTGATCCTGAATTTGTCCTTGACAATTACTTTCATATTGAATCTAGCTAAATATTTTTATCGCTTAGATATAAATGAGAATAAAGCAGCAATTAAAATTATCTATATTATGACAGTTATTGCTTACTTATAATGCGCATATTTGGAGTATAATGGCTGGACAATTTAAGGGAAATCCAATCCGCTAGGCTAGTTGGACAGCAGGACAACAATCGATAAAACATTGTAAAAGGTCCAACATAGTAAAACCTTTTTGGTTTCCTACTAAGTAAAGCATCTTCTACTGCCTCCACTACCGGACTTAGATCAGTTGGTATTTTCGTACAAAGTTTTTCGATTTTCTCTTCAACTAGTGAAGACAAGAGATCAAAGATTATCAGCTCATTTTCGTTCTATGTTTGTAAATTATATTGTTGAAGCTATAGCTCTGTCCTGTGATACTGTAAATTGACGAATTTACTATATCAAATCACTAAAATTTGTAAATTCAAGATATCAGTTACATCATTTACAATAGTCGTGAGTCTCTATTTTGTAAGCTTTTGGCCGATCTAGACTAATTAAAGTTGACAATCCATTTCTTGTTCTGATTAACTGGTGGATTAAGCCTACTTTGATGAATAAAGGCTATACAGTGAGTTATTGGATTCTATTGATGATATATATGCAGTATATTTGTCTTTATTTGATTTCTTTCATTAAATAGAACAGTGTTTGTTATTTTGCAACTATGAATAAGTATAATTCTATATGCATGTATGTCGGGTAATAGTAATATTATGATCTCTACTGTAATCACTTTTATATGCATCAATGCGTAACTAGACATCACTGAATGGATCCAGTCTTGAATACTAGTAGAATATCCCGTTAGTGATACTTTGCGTAAATAGATTGCTATTCCAATGCGTCCATAAAACTGAGGCTATTTTCGTGGTAGTAAAATATATCTGCATTTTACGCTACTAAAGTAATCGTAATTGCGGAATAATATTACTATCGATATTTACTGCTAGAACAACATATGCATCTTACAAGATATCGTAGTCTCTATCAGGTTTAATTCATGCAGATTTACCTTGTGCAAGAACCAACTTATAACTCTCTTTGACATCGTCACTAGCATCATTATATCTAGAGCGTGTTGATTCGATCATTCTGTCAGGGATAGTCATACCAGTTGCAAATCCTGTTGGACAAACACAATGAACTCCGACACCGAAGGGAAGCATTTCCAATCTTAATGCATTGCAGAAAGCCACTACACCAAATTTAGAAACAGCATAGGCTCCAAATAATGGCGATGCGTGAATACCAGCTACACTTGCCATATTGACAATTCGACCTCTCTCTTTCTTGATTAAAGGTAGAAAGTGACAAGTTACGTCAATTAGACCGAATAAATTGACATCAGCAAGTCGACGAAATGTATCAATTTTGAGCCAATCGATAAACGCAGTTTCACATAATCCAGCATTATTGACGAGTCCCCATAGTCCTTGCCCTTCTGGTAATTGTGCATTAACTAAATTGACTGCTTGTTGAATTTGTTGGCTATCGGTAACATCGAGCTTGAAAGGAATCATACGATCAGCATAGCATTTTAATTGTTGTACTGACTCCTCTTTTAAGCAAGCAGCAAAAACATGAAAACCAAGCTGATGGCATCGCTCAGCAAATGCTCTGCCAAATCCACCATCGCATCCAGTAATCAGGACATACTTATCTTGGATATTGCTGACTTGATCCTTTTTACTGAATACGTAAGCTAAACTAGCAAATAGAAAATTCGTTGCGGCTAAAGTAGTTGTAGCGTCCATCAATCAAGCTAACTCGTCGTCGCCAATTGCCGTTTTAATGAATTAATAAGTGTACTCACTGATTGTCAACAAACTTGGTTTGGTGGCGTTTAGTTGTTCTAGTTGAAGTTTTAATTTTCACCGTCGTAATCTCTGTTTAATTTTCGTTGGGATGATATTCTAGATATACGCTTCGATGCACTGAAGAAGCTTCAGAAGGGATTGCTGATAGATAAAATGTGGAGTTGAGTAGCCGATGGGATAAGTAGTACTAAACCAATCGAGCTCTAAAATGCCAACTGTAAAGTTGAATAGTAAACACGTTGATTAAAAAGTTGCTTGTAACATAGAAGGTAGAGTAGTACCGCTTCTATCAGCACAGAGACTAATATTAGAAGAGTAATTCTACTTTACAGTATATCAAGTTACAAAGTAGCTTTGCCGGATCGACGAGGGTAGAGTATACCTACTTTTATATTCACTCCTTCTGCCAAAACCTCGGTCGTGACACGACACCACTGCAGGTAAATTAACAGACAGATCTTTAATAAAATGTAATTAATTTTCGGGCAGCAATCTCCTTCAACAGAATGGACACCACTTCTGTTACGTATGTTGAGATAAACAGTGGACCCAATAATAGATACTGTACTGTATCTATGATCAGCAAGAATTAATTACGTCCGTTTCGATAAACAGTGGACGCAAGAATAGATACTGTATCTAGAATGACAATTAATCAGCAAGAATCAGTAGGAAAAGATTGGCAAGTGAGACACTGCCAAGCATAAAATTCAGTCTCTACGCTAATCGCTTCCAGTTGTGTCAAATACTAATCACTCCCTTCCAATCTAGTGCGAAAAATTCAAGTACAACAGTGGATACAAAGCACACGATAGGAGAAAATCTGGATAATTTCTAGACGAAGCAATCTGGTGTGAAAAATTCGAGTTCAACAGTTGATGCAAGGCACACTATTGAAGGAAAGCTGGACAATTTCTAGACGAAGCAATCTCGTCTAACAATTCGAGTTCAACAGTTGATGCAAGACACACTATTGAAGGAAAGCTGGACAATTTCTAGACGAAGCAATCTGGTCTAACAATTCGAGTTCAACAGTTGAAGCAAGGCACACTATTGAAGGAAAGCTGGACAATTTCTAGACGAAGCAATCTGGTCTAACAATTCGAGTTCAACAGTTGATGCAAGGCACATTATTGAAGGAAAGCCGGATAATTTCTAGACGAAGCAATCTCGTCCAACAATTCGAGTTCAACAGTTGATGCAAGGCACACTATTGAAGGAAAGCTGGACAGTTTCTAGACGAAGCAATCTGGTCTAAAAATTCGAGTTCAACAGTTGAAGCAAGACACACTATTGAAGGAAAGCTGGACAATTTCTAGGCGAAGCAATCTGGTCTAAAAATTCGAGTTCAACAGTTGATGCAAGACACACTATTGAAGGAAAGCTGGACAATTTCTAGACGAAGCAATCTGGTCTAACAATTTGAGTTCAACAGTCGATGCAAGACACACTATTGAAGGAAAGCTGGACGATTTCTAGACGAAGCAATCTCGTCTAAAAATTCGAGTTCAACAGTCGATGCAAGACACACTATTGAAGGAAAGCTGGACGATTTCTAGACGAAGCAATCTCGTCTAAAAATTCGAGTTCAACAGTTATTGCAAAACACTTTTGAAGAAAAAGCTGGACAATTTCTGGACGAGGTAATCAGAGGGCAACAGAGTCCTTCCTTCCTTCCTTCCTTCATCAGTTGCCGCAACTGCAATATCGACGGATAGTAAATAAGAAGGTACGTCTATACTGTCAGCAATTTGGATGGAAGCTTTTCATGTACCGTATGGATAATGCAGCAACGTTTGATACACTCTACTGTCTAAAAGTCAAAGAAAAGGGTTCACAACTGGTCAACTTTGTTGTCCAAAATTGGCGTAATAGCAGCATCGATTGACAATAAAATAATGAATTTGTGTAGGATAAGAATAGGTAAGATCCATGCTATTAATGATAGGATTTTATACTACTTTAGTAACGAGAAATAATAAAAAGATATCAGGTCATTTGGAGCATTTTCCTAGTGTAATGTTTCATTCATAGAGTTCGGTATATAGAATAGACTAGCGGTTTATCATTAGATAGTACTACATCAGTTTCTATCTGCAAGTCGACATACTATACAAAACTTGCAAGTAGACAATATCTAGTCAACACTCTATACCGAATGATATGAATGGAACATAATACTCGAAAAATTCCCAAAACCATCTGATATTTGCTCGTTACTTCTCATCACTGCAATATTCTAGAAAATATATCCAAGAGAGTAAAACTTAACTTATTCCTAAGCAATATAGAGTAATTGTTGAATTTATAATCTGTATGTTAAGACCGCAAATTTTCAACAGCAAAATTGACAAGTTGCAGCCAAGTTTCCTTCCATTTTGGACAGTATAGTGTATCAAACATTCATTCATATGCCATATAATAACTTATCTAACTGGCATCATCATTACTCACTATAGAATAGGTGTGATTAAGCCAGCAGCTGGCACCACTACTAGCCACAGCTTCCAGTCAAACGGTCAGTAAAAGCAACATGGCGGATGACGAAACCATTCTATCCGTTTTCGCTTCTGATTTTCCAGGTATTTCACCGTAGCGAACTCATGAATGAAATGCAATTGAGTTAGATTTATTATCAATCATTTACCAGATCAATTAATATGAAGGCAATAGTGTTTTATAATGGCTGCTCTATTGCAAGTATTTGATTGAATGGAGCGTTCTGTCTTTGCAACGCCAATTCAAGTCAAGTCGCAAGCGCAAATAGAGTAAAATACAACATTAATTCCACTGTTGTGGCATCATTACTGATGTAATCTAGCTTGTAGACTTCATTGGTGTAACATTATTAGACTGTAATCTAGTTTGTTGTCTATCTACCAATGGATTTCAATCATTTTCAAGTTTGATCTTCTAATTGATTCGATCTACACATGCAGCTTCGTGGAGGAATAATGAAGACTTTAAACGTTATGTAGCTCAGATGAGTTCCTGTTCTATCGACATTCTAGGTATGTACTTTGCCTTGGCTTAGCTCTACAGTAGTTGATACAAATTAATTGGGTAAAGTTACCATTTTGCGATACTAGAGTAAAGGAAGATATGCCATAATTTTAGTGATAATACATATCTATCGACGTATACTTTTCGATATTCCTTCTAGTATCATTACAATTTTCAACTTTTTCCAATCATCATTACATAACAGTATTGGCATATTGTAAAGTATTCACTCCAACTATCTTTGCTAAAGCTAAACATGATAACAAGTCAAGCGCTATATTAATAGTATAACATCCAATCCTTATATTAGCTACCGAACCTGAACGCCTAAAAGAAGAAGAAGAATTAATTGGTCGTCAAACTCAAGATTTAGCTTTCAACAATTATAAAACTTTTATTAAAACGGCGGAGTGCACTAATAGAGTCTTTCAAGAGGTAAGTCAACAAGAATTGGCTAGAGAAATTGACAACAAATTTATTAACAGATTGATAATTTTATATTAGAAAACAATACATTAATAAAGCTTGTGGCACCATGCCATGGGCACAAGTTATCATGTCTAATCTAGACAACTACACCTTTCCAAATACTCTGTGGTATTATAGTTTCTGCAGGTAGAGCAGCACGTCAACCTACTAATCAAGTCGATACCAGTTTTAAAAGAAAGTTGCCATGATTTTGTTAACGCAGCGCAGTCGATTAACTTAAGGTAAACTTCCTCACCGATTTGTGTCCTCGTTACAACGCATAACTAAAAATCCGTTACAGGATCATCTATTAATATGCTATTGCTTATTGCTGTGACGTTCACGTCTATTAACGCCTATCCAACCGTCCCTTCTATAGCCGAAAGCAAAATTCTGCCATTTTGTCACGGCATACGCAATTACTGGAAATTTTAGAAGTTCCACAGGTAGTGTAGGCATATAGATAGCGTTTGCTATGCTCACGACAATTGGTCAATAAAAACTTGTATAAATTCATGAGTGCGACTGGAGAGTTAATGAAACTGCTCCATTTCCTATACAGCTAATGGATACATCGGTCAGAAATTGCTATTACGAGGAAGCTTTAGAATTGATCGAATATGTTAAAAGACTAGAAAAGAAGCTATCTTCTATTCCAGTTATCATGGTATATTTAATAAACACCCAGTTCTGATCATTACAGTTACACGCAAACTAATTGCTTCTTCTAATTATCAAATGAAATTTGCTTTTTATTCCTAACTTTAGAACATAGTAGAAGATGTCAGAGCTTCAACTCAGTTAATGTTGAATCAATTGTTACAACAACTTCATGATGATTTACAACTACCGGCATGCTTAAAAGTTATAGGATATATCCGTAGATTAAATGTTTTTACCGAACCTGAATTAAGAATTAAATTCCTCCAAGTACGGCTTTAAGTTAGAAAACTACCAATGCTTACACTTTATAAAATCCAACTCAATATTAAAGTCCTTATTCATTCAAATAGGCTAGAGATACTTGGTTCAGGAAAATTTTAGATAATATTCCTGATGATGAACGTAAGTAACTCCTTTTTACCACTTAAAATATTTACTTTCGCCCTGCAATGCTAACATTGTGTTCATATCACTATATTTAGCTTACTATCATATAAGCAAGACAATCGAAGTTAGTCGGGTCCATCTCTTTGACATTATCACCCAATACAGAGCTGTCTTTCCTGACGATGATCCGCTGTTGTCAACTGGATCTGGCAACCAAGCTAACAAAACTAAACCTGTTGCTATTTTTTATTGCTGGCTTATTCAAAAAGTTAGAAAAATACTCCTTCTTATTACTGGATATAAACTGACCTGATGTTGGTTGAGCCAACCAACATCTGTGCGTTAATGTCAACATGCCTTCTTAAATGTTACTTATCACTTTTGTATTAATCGATAGGTAAAAGATTTTCTATCCACATTGGATTGCGACTTGTCACGAGGTGTTGGTGGTCGCTTAGATTCATTGCTAGGCCAGTGTATGTATTTTGGACTATCTTTTAGTCGTGTTGGAGCGGATTTTAGAAATTTGTTAGCACCACTTTTTCAGCGGACAGTAATGAAAGGCTTTTCGCGAACGGTCGAAGATGCTACAACTCAGTATGTCAATATTCAGCCATTTTTAAATAGTATATTAGTTGTCAATTGCGCAGACTGATTCATCTGAGGGTGTCATTTATTTTGAAGGTTTCAAGATAGTTTAAAGTCTTACAAACTCGTTAGGCCGTCTACTGTTGTTGCTAGTATGGTTTCTAAATATGAAATTTCGAAACGTAAAGTACGTAGTTATGCTGCACTCAAATTGTTCACTATTGCCGTCAACGTAGCCTATTATTGTCGAACTGCCTTCTTTAATTATACTTGCACCGTATGATAATTTGGATTATAGGAATCGGATTTATCACCCCCTATGATTCTTCTAGAGTTTGATCCGTTAGCAGGATACACAAACTCTGTCTTGGCTGCTTTCAACGAAATTAGATTATGCGCTCCGGTAGCCATTGCCCCAGCAGTAGCGAAAAAATTGCAGGGGTCACTCGTTACTTGTGCAATTACGATATGTGACTATTATAGGTAAGTCATCATCATAATATTAGTATAAAAAATACTATTATCATAAAGGAACTTTTTCCATTTCTACAGGTTGGAATCCACTACGTTAAATCAAGATGAATTTAACCTCCTCACTCGGTTTTGTGATCTTTACGCTAATACATTGGTTCCTTATTTAGCTCGATGTTTGAGCGCTTTATTTTCTACAACATCAATTAATTCATTACTGGGTCAAACTGTGGCTCAACAGGAAGGATCAGTAACGAATGGTAGTGGAAGAATTGATGTTGATGAAATATTCAATGTATTAAAACCATTCCTGCCTCAAAAACCTCCCGTCACTGTTTATCGTAATAGTAGTCTAGAAAATATAACGAAAAAAGACTCAGTTGATACAGAATCCAATGCAGTAAAATCTTCAGAATCACATGCAGAATCAGATACAGTAAAGGTATCAGAATCGCCTAGAGAGGATGTTGATGATATTGCCACAACATCGGATGCTAGTGAGGAACACACACATTCAGATTAAATCTCAATAAATATTGACGACTGTTATGCGCGTAGACGTGAAAATTAATTACTACCATTATTGAATGTCTATTTAATAACGTACGAATCACTCTCCTAACTTTAATAATGTAAATAAAATTACAATATATCGATTTGCTATCAGTATGTGTGGAATTGATGAGAATAAGATTGTATATGGTATACATTAAATGTGATCTACTGAACTGTATTTGCAATACAAGAAATTAGCGTCAAGTTCTATCGCAGGTGTTGTATATGTCATGTCTTGTAACCCATGTCGTAACGTTTATTATTGAGGTATTGATCATAGAAATTTTTGACTATCCTTTTCTACCCAATTTTATTAACACCAAATAGGTTCATGAAAAGGAAAATTACATTCAAATCATGACTTTGTCTGCAGACTGTATATACGATAAAGACTCATAATCGTACCTATAACTGACAGGCAGTATATAATATCGTTAGCATTAGATCACGAAACGTATCTACTAATACTTTAAACTTGGCACTGCTATGACTTTAAACCTGAGCAAAGATCTGTCCCATAGCGCAGTATAGCAAAACATAATTTGATAGCCTTAAGAATGTTTCTAGCCTTCGTTAATGACCGCTGGAGTTACTAGATGCACCTTAATTAGCTAATTTGAGAAGACCTATCTTCTTAATGTAGTATACGCGCATTCTAAATTAGCACCCTATTATAATTTAGCTGCAAACACAGCTTTACAAAGACAAAAATAAATTTATATGTGGCGCTAAGCAAATCGTAAATATGACGTCAATTAATTAATTTTAAATTTCTCAACACAATTTTAGTCATTTTTCTAAAATCTTACTACCTGCGGCCGTACTTGTTAGATGCATTACGTAATTGGACAGACTGCCACACTGTTTGCTTCCGCACAAAGAGACTGAGCTATTTATATGCATCCTTATTGAGCTATTACCAACACTATTGATGCAGTATATTCTCATATCATCTAGTGAGCTAATCTAAAGGATAAGGAAGCTGAATGTCATAAAAGAATGTAAATAAATAGTATTCCTGGGTATAGTTTTGTTAGATTTTAGACTAGCAACTATGCTTCTACGTGAATATCTCCCTGTACTGATTTTTTCAATCTCTTATATACCTTTGCTTATCGGATACGTAACCAAAAACTCGTGCCGTGCAGTAGCCGATAAGAATGAATTCAAAGAATCATGCAATTAGACAATAAGGCGCTCTAGTAATAACTCAATATAAATTCGCAACAGCTTTTAACTACAAGTGTTCTAAAACTACGAAGGCTAAACCTTCATTGTTATTAATTTACATTTCAATACCTACTACAAGTGTCAAATATACTGTATTAGCTATTATAGTCAAAACAGCTTCTTATTGATTGATTGATTCACAGCGCTAAGTCAATATTCTGATTCCGATTCAGTAAACATAGTATCAAATAACCAATCACTCGGGAATAAATCTTGAATAGATTATCGTAGTGTCATGAACTCTTGATTTCAAAACTGCATGTAACTTAAACTTACTTAAAATCAACATTTTTCTCCCGTAAACAATTGATCTAATTTAGTTGGCGATGGTGGAGAATTGTACCTATCGGCCAAACAGTATAAAATACTCGAAAATTCACTTACTTAGTAGAAATTGCTGTTATAACTTTAGAAAGAATCGATAAAAGGATGATGTGGTTGTCCAGTTGTATATAAGTAATCTGATCACATGATTATTTTAATTGTCTATAAAAAAATTTAGTGTAATTTTTTCATGTATGAGTAATACTAGCTAAATATATTATTTTTTAGTCTATAATTGTATTGTATCAGTTGCAAGTAAATTGTGAACAACCGTGAAAGATACTTGTATATCGAGTTACGGTGTAAATTTTATTAACATTTTAATTTGCAATTATTCATTTCTTTATACGCGTATACCATAATATCAAGTTAGCGATGAATAACTCAAGGAGGACTTATAAATCACCAAAATAATTGCTTTTGATTATCATTAGCTAGCCTGCAACGCTAGTAATCATTTTTCTGATTTTTATCTCAATTTAAAAGGAAAGTAATTGTAGAAGGTAAATAAAAATATCTTTATATGTGCATATGATCAGCAGATAGTGTATAAGCATATTCCGTACGTGTTAAAATTCTCTTAGACAGCGACTGATCATACAAATTTGAATAGATAGCAAATCTTTGTGTCATATATTTTTTGTTATTATACTTATTGCAACAGGAGAAATTACTCTTGGATAGTAACCATCATAGAAGATTTAGAAAATCTTAAAAGCTTATATATCTCACATTATCCTTACTGTATCTAACATAGCAATAACAGAAATTATAATTGATCGTTAAAGTTTTAATACCAGCCGGCAAGAAATTTATACAAATTACCTTTGATATCTTTAGAATTGTATGATAAGTTATTCATAAGCGGTAACGGACTTGAAATTTTTTATAAATAGCAAAATAGTTTAATTATTTCATAATATTATTCTATCTATCTTTACCATCAATAAGTAACTATTACTATAAGATAATATATGATATAATCTATTCGCGTATTTGTATACGCGAATAAACCCCTCTGAGAATCAACCAGAATTAAATAAAATCGCTCTACTTACGATTATGGCAATAATATATCCTTTTATAATTAATTGAATGATAATGGTATACAGTGTGAGTATACAGTCGAAATGATTAATTAATTAACTCATTAATATTCAATCTGTCGCTAGCCTTAAAATAGGAAAACAATTCTAAAACTACAGTAATCAAAATAACAATAGAACTTAATTTACATAGTAAATGTTAATCTAACCTATCCCACATCATCAACAATAGGACTGAATTTGAATGCTTGAAAAGTAACGACAACTAATAAATCTACATAGTGGAAATAATAGTTTCTATTACTTCTTTAATGTTTCCGACAACTACGATTTTGAACAAGATATTGTGGCTATCCACTTCATGTAAATAATCGGACACTATATTGTGCTGTATCTAAGGACAATTGTTAAGGTAGAACTGTTGAATTGATTCAATTATCCTTCTCCGTTACTTATTTACTGTCCGGCTATTGCTAGCAGTAGTGAGCAAGGGCGCCGATGGTAACAGCGTGAGAGTCGATTTTCTCTTATTATTTTGTCGTCAATAAAGTAATAACTTTATCGCTCTTCGATGTATTTCCACCGTATTTGTACGTGAAACTGCAAGTTAGCCCTGGATGACAAGCTTGAAATGCATCAAGGTAACATACATGTAATACCATAAATGAAATATATTAAAAATAAATAATTTCAAACCTATAAATATACTCTGATTTCCTGATTCTTGCATGAGGACAGATCGAGTAAATAACGACGATAGTGCATACTTATAGCTTAACTAGAAACTCACTTTAGTCTTGCAGCATCTACAATTTATCGCTAATAACATTACTAAGAATTGGTAACCTGGCGTTGATGTCATACTGAGAGCCTTTAAGTAACATTATAAATTTCTAAATCGCTTTCAAAGGACTCTGTTCATACGATTTTAGCCTACAGGCTTATCTCGAGTAATTAGGATCCAGGAATTAATTGCCTTCTTCATGATAATATATCGCTAAAATATTAATTAAAGCCAGATATATCGTCATTAATTACGAATATCACCGATTTATGACAATGTAGCATTAATTCCTCAACAGAATTTGCTCGGAACATAGAGACTTTCCATTTTTATTTAAGGTTTTTATCACGTCTTTATCGGTGATACGGGATCAATGTTATGAAAAAGCCCTTATTTATAAACTCTACCAATAATTTCTTAATTAATGCTATAAATTGCACTTGAAGATGACTTGAGAGAGAATGATAATATATTAGCTCTATTAATAGTATGCTTTACAACCTTAAATTTCATAAAATTTTAAAATTACCGTTGCCAAACTAAGATATTACTGTATAGACGAAAACCTTTAAAAAATGATAATTTCATATTGGTGGTGGAACAAATTAGACATATACCATCTCAGATGAAGCCGAGTCTCATTTCTAAATTGCTATAACTACGATAAATTTATCAAATGCTATTAATTCTTGAGTTATTGATAATAAAAATGTATTCTTCAATATATCTCATAATAGAATGGATAAATGAGTAAAGGTTGCCGTTATGTATTCTTAGTCAATATGGTACCTATTAGAATCGTTGTCTCACTTTAGGATTGCCTTAATTGAGTTCTTCTATATTTTTATTTAAGTCTACTTAAAATCGTAAAAGTGAAATTTTTTCACTGTTATCCTTTCAGATTACCATTCAACTATGTAACTTAATTAGCACTTTTCTTAAATTACCAAATATTATTGTGTGGAAACTGAAAATAGTCATCAATTTTTCTACTATTCTATTCTTTGAATAAATTGTAATTTAATATTAGTATATTACTACCTATCGTAGTAAAGAGTAATAAAAGTACGTTATTATAATTGTATTGAAAAAATTTGTACGTTTCCTAAATTTATTTCATTCCTCTTTCCTTTTCATTTATTTCAGGTATATAAAATATATTCACATTTATTAATGATGCCGACTTGCTACAGCGTAACGTTTTAGATTTATTCATAGATTAAAAATGATGGAACTAAATAGATAGCCGTGATAAGGAATAGTAGCTACAATAACAGCCTTCTATAATTTACTGCAGTATATCGCTAATTTATGACTTTCTCGTTACATACAATAATATTATTTCAATTATTCAATTTTTTTACATCTATCATATTTCTTACTAAGTAAATAGCTCGATCAAGAAACTGATTATATATATTAGCTATCATTGCTATTAAATTGATTACTAAATAATGATATTTCACTTTATTAATTCGGTAATTCTTGTATAAATTGATAATCTAATAATAATATCATCGATCTTTTCAATTTTTCTTCTCCTTAAGACGGAAATTGCTCCAATCTTTACCTATTACAATGTACTGGAAAGAAAGGGTAATAATTCATAATCCGATTACCTTCATGTCAAGCTACATCATCAGCCTTAAAACTCTCCTTGAAAAAGACTAATAAATTTCAATCTAAAGATTTTCATTAAATAGTCGTTCTCACATAACCTCATAACTAAACTATTTCTAGTTGTATCGTTTAAAGTACTGAAGTCTTTTCATTAAAATGAACAGGTCTTGCAATGATGACAACCTTACGGCACCAATATCTTATGCTGTTACTCTGGGTGTCGCCTACGGTGTTATATTTGTATTTGCGGTTATAGGTAATCTCAGTTTAGCCATCGGGATTATTCAAAACTGGAGTAAAATGAAAACACTAATGAATGTGTTAGTGGTCAATTTAGCTATATGCGATTTGGGATTAGCCATTATTGGCATGCCTTTTACTGCAGTTCATGATATTTACTTATACAATCCCCTTGGCGCTGGATTCTGTTTTGTATGGTTAATCGCTATGGTTGCATTTTGGTCAGCTAATATGATAACAGTAACGGGAATTGCTATTGAGCGTTTTGTTAAAATTATTCACCCGGAAAAAGCCAAGCTACAAGCCAAAGGTGGTATTATCTTGGTAATCATATGTTGGATTATATCATTCGGCATGGCTATTCCATACGCACTTGATATTGTTAATCATTATGATAATCGCCAAGATCGTATTATATGCTATAATATCCAATCCAATTTGATTGGTCGTCGGGCATTCATCATCTTTGTATTTGTGTTCTTTTTTATCGTACCCGTTTTGGTCAATATCATGCTCTATTCCATGATTGTCTATTTCATCTATTCTAAAGCAAATGAATTAAGATCTAGAAGTGAGAATCTGCGCAAAAGAAATAGTAAAGTAGTTACAATGTTAATGATGGTTGTGGCGTTATTTATATTATGCTGGTTTCCATTTCATTTATCACAATTATTACTGAAATTCGAGCCACAAACTTTGTGCCCATTAAGTGGTCGAATTTTTATTGCCATTTGTAATTGGCTAGCGTTATCTCATTGTATGGTTAACCCTATCATATTTGCTTCTCGGAGCGAAATTTATGGTAAGGTAATGGCGGGTGTTTGTAAACGTGGAAAGAACCGAATTCATATTTCGCCATCTGTACTCAATACTGATACGCACTCTGCTGCTGCTAATAAACAAACCATTAGAAAATATAGCCTTAATGACGATCGAAAAAATCGAATACAACCTGTGAAGTTGCGTCGTTCCGCAACTGTACAGAAATTTTAATCACTGGCTAGACTGATAGCTTATTACTTTTTTTATCGGTATTAAGTACTTCATACAACAATCTGCGCACGGTATTTAGTGTTACTAAATTAAAATTGAAGCTTGTTTGAGACAGAATTTAGCTGACTTTTTATTCATTCGCTTTAATTATAATACATTTTAACTAGGCTAGAGGATTACAATTCGTATCTGAGTATAGTTTACTTGCTTGATCATCTACTCTTATTCACCTTGAACTGGCAAAGATAATGTAAATAATGATCACCTTATTTGTTATTGAGTAATATATAATTATCCTTGACTCATCGTTATATCGATCGATGCATAAAATTGAACCCTTTGCCAATTGGATAGACCTCTCTTTAGAGCAGTCTTTTGTTAAATGGAGGTTACCCAAAAATTACTACCGCTATTACAACTGCACATACGTCGAGATTTTTCTCATTGATTAGCACTTCCTGAAGTAGTTAGAAGGAAGCAAAGGTGTAGAATATGTATACTTACAGCATTGAATTGAATTAATTAGTAAGACTTCTAATTAATTTTGATGGATAGCATAAATATGATCGATGTCATATTTATATATTTAATTGCAAAATTATACGTTGTGTGGTCCAATATAGGTAAGCAAAGAAGTTTTATGTTGCGATTCTTACAAATCACTTAATTTATCAGTGAGGCAATGTCTGTTCATGTTTTCTATTTGCAAGATAGATTTGGTAACATTTCCTAGTCTTGATTATTATTTAGTAACCCATAGCTCATATCATAGCTTTGGGTTATACTGTCCCTGGGATACTCAAAACTTAAAAATTTTACTATTTTGTAGCTCTTGTATCCGTTACAGATTGAAAACTTATTGATTGCGATATCATACGCAGTATCTGAATAATACTTTCTGTTACCAATACTTCCAAATCTGCATATACTGTATAAATTCGTAATTTTTAACAATTTTTTTTGAACTCTATGTTATTTAAATTAAATCTATGACTTTGTAATTTACTCGATATGTAACTCTAATAAGTTTTTACACTGGTACAATATCCAATAACTTACGATAGCAGATTTTGCTATTCTTACACAATGGATATCATGAAATTGCTATTTTGTCAAGAGAACTGTAAATAGCCTTGATTCCTTGCATACATTGTAATTCACTTACGATTAATAGGTAATTTACAATTGTAATCTCTAACAAACTATAATGAGCTTGAGAAAGTTAATGCGATGTTTTCATTGTGTGCGAGATGATCAAAAGCGCACTTAAGCTACCTGCAATAAACTCATCATAAAAAAATAAAGTAAATTCTATTTGCTATTTTATTCTCAAGGCGCATCTTCTCATATACTCTTCTTAGGATATAATCGCTTAAGAAAGTACCGTACTATAAGTTAATTTTTAATGCTGATTATACGTTCTGTAATGTTTGTGATTATATTTATAACTGAGTATTTATTTATAAAATACAGTTAAGGTATTAGGACATGCTTTAGAGCAGTAGTTATAGTCGTATCCAAGACAACAAGAAAACGTATTATTTTTATTTCTCATTTAAACTATAACTATATGCTAGACCTATTCGTGATCGATATATCGAGAGTGAAATCAGGATAGGCTATACTCCGTGTCAATTTTCTTCTACCAGTTCGATCTTAAAGCCAAAGTAATAATTTTACTTTGTGATCATCCATAACTGAGAGTCAATTATAGAACCTTCTATGCTAATGGACAAGGAACTGTACAAAATCTACTTCACAAGCGAAAAAGGAAAAGACGTATAAAATAAAATTAATCATGTAATTAAGCCATGGCAGGGTGTTGGAAAATTTAGACTTTCCACCATACTTTCTTGCCTTGCAGTACAGACGGACGCTAAGCCTAGATGATATTATTGCTACTCATAAATAAATAAATACTTATTCGTTATACTTTTTGTATACTAAAGTCTACCGTGGAATAAGCATTTGTCGAACTCTATGGTAGCACTTGGTCCTATACTGCTTTCTATCTGATATTTTCAGTGCCTACTTATTCATCGCCAAAATTTGATATCAAACGTAGTCCAAATTATTTGCATTCTCCGATATACTATATGTCCGTAAGAATATTGAGTCATAGCTAATGTAATCTACTACAGTTCTTCTTAGTATTGGATACAATGCTGTACGATATTATCAAGAAGAAGCTATAGCAATTGTACTTATCACCTTGTCTATTGGAGGACTTATGAAAGCCAAGCTAATTCACCTGTAATTGCTCAGGAAAACATCTGAGACTTCGCCTAAAGTAGTTTTCGAATTGTAGGAAGCTTTCTAACTAATCTCGCTAGCCAAGTATTCCTTTAAATGGATCATGTAGTAGTGGTCAAGTTACTTAAATCAACACTCTAGTTATTACAAATTTCCGTTCTTTCATGATCAGTAGCTGTTTAAAAATTAAAATTGCTTGAACATCCGTTCATTCATCTGTCATCGATGTACCTGTCCTTGCTCAAGCGAGTTGCCTTTAGCAGAGGATTGACCAAAATCTATACAAGAACGTTTATGTTGATGAGCCTTGCATCATGTTTAAATACGCATAGTAGATTAGCAACTAACGTTCGGGAAATATCACATTTAAACATGTCAGATAATACCGAATCCATCAAACCAGACACTAACGATGATGATATCATCCCTTTGGATAGTACGATCTTGTCAACGGCTAGTGAACATGGAAGTTCGCAATCGAAGACGAAGCGAATTGATGAAGTTTCACTGTCAACAAATGGTTCGACGATGTCATCGTTGCCTCTTACCTTCGCCAGCGATGCTCGTAACAGCGAAATTTTAATTACACAAGACCAGTCAAACATGATCGAAACGGTCACAGAGACTGATCTAAGTTGCCCTGCTGAAGTACCATTCTCGCAAGAATTACTTTACATGGCTGCAGGTAAGTACAGTAATTTTTACAGTTTGTATTTTATCGAGAGTATGACGGTCATCCAAGACAGAGGCTGCAATATGGAGTCGCGTTCATGTTCCAAGAATTTTTTTCTAAACTTGCAATATTATATAGTGTCATAAAACAGCTTTCGTGATCGTTCCTGAACTAAACTATCTACTCTTAAAGGTTCCCCGACTAACTCCGGAGATCCTCAGTAAAGGAAAACTAGCTTATTCCTATACTATAGAAAACGATGCCATGGTGGCCATTTGCACTGTAGATTATGTTACAGCATGCATATTAATAGTTTAGGTGTAAAGGAAACACTCGAACAGATTGATATATTGTATGAATTCTCTGCATGATAGCCGAGTAGTATTGGATGTGTAGTTTGTTACTGCATATCAGCCAACTCACTCTGACTAAGAACGCTTCCTTAGCGATAGACAGAGAAGATATTATTTATAGCTGCTTTTATATTTACTTTCATAGCTGGAAATTTATTATTTGTTGTCGGCAATACTAGTAAATTGCGATTCTTCTCAAAATATTTATGATCTTACTTACTGTACTTTAACGCATTAGCTTTACATGAGGATCAAGGCTTGGTGTGCGATGAACCGAATGTGTCAGCAGAACATGGCGACAAGACGTCAAAGAGAAGGAAAAGAAAAAAAGCGAAACGCGAACAACCCAATTACTTTATTTCTTTAAGACTGTATAATCGTAATATTCGTCAAGAACTCTCCAAAATTCAGGGGGAAATGATAGCTCAGGATGAACGACTAAAGTTCGCTGCTGTATCTCCGGCTAAAATTCATATCACCCTTTTTGTAATGGCTTTAAATACAGACGAAGAAATTACCAAGTTAGTTGTATTACGCGTGGCGATGTCTTAAAATTATGATTAGTAATCTGCTAATATCGCTATAGTCGATGATTGATCGGATCAAAGAATTGACCAGTCGATTTTGATAGCGTTCTAGCAGCATTAGTGGCGTAATATCTATGAAAGCGGCATTAGCAATTGTAAAGGAACTTGATCAAAACAATTCTTCTTTTACAGAGCGGAAGTTGCCTTGAAAAGTGTAGAGATGGAATTGCAGGAATACGTATCACAACGTGAACAATCTTCTTCAATATCAATTGAAAGCATTTCACATTTCAATCAAGGAGTTGTTTTTGCCCAAGTCAAAGATGACGTAGGATTCGACATGCTTAAAACGATTCGAGGTAGATTAACTTTCAAATTTGATATTATTAATACGCACCTGTAAATAGGAGGTTATATTTCGATTTGTGCAGTTTTCAGGTACACCGCTGTGAATTTCTCCACGAGTTGTAACTCATTCTAATTGTGAAATATCTTTCTATAGCTAAAGTGCATAAACTATTCCTGGAAAAGAACCTAGCAAATTGTGATAGCAAACCGTTCAAACCCCATGTTACTATCTTCAAATTATCTAAAAATCCCAAGAAACTGAAGAAATTAGGTATAGCTAAATTAGACCCAAAAACTTACGAAAGCTGGAAAGATCATCATTTCGGAATTGAAAAAATGCGAGGTCTTCAATTATGTTCTATGCTTTTACCACCTGAAAATGACGGTTTCTATCGATGTATAAGTACTATTGATTTTTAATCATCCTCCTTTTAATTAGTTCCATATTGGTAATCGTGCACATTTTTAAAGATCTTTCAGAATAATATTAAGTTCAAGTACAACATGTTAACATACTTATGTTATGTAATGTATATAGCTATTTGGTTATCGCGAACATTACTTTAAAGTCTACCATTTTATCGTTGAAATTAATAATAAATTATCGTTACTCTGTACACACTCAGGTACTGCTATATCCAGCCAAGTCGTCAAATACGAGTCTCAAGAGTGCTTTCTTATATGATAAAAGTAATTGATAGCATTCATTTTATGCTGTTACCTAATTTAATCCAATACGATTGCAATCAGTCGCATACTTTTCTAATCTGCTTTCACTAAATTTGTGAAATCAGTAAGTTTGTTGCCCTTAATAATTCACTTAACTGGGAATATACCATCATTATGATATATTTTAAGTTAAGTTAAGGCAATCCATTTCAGCTACAAGTTGCATATAAAACTATAAAATGTATTATAGACTGATAGAGATACTTCACTTAGGACAAGAGTTTTCAACTGTTTAATTGTGTGTACTCGGGTATAAAGTATTTGTATTGTTTTGGTTGAAATCCGTACTAATCTAGCTAGCCCAACATTTAATAATTGCAAGATCCTAAACATTGCAGATAGACTTTAAAAGAGTAACTCTTGAAAGTATTCCTTTATTCTTAAAATAATTTGCTGTTTGCTAGCATTCAGTATTTCTTGCTTTGCATACATTACGTATTGTGACAAATGATAGTCAATTTCCTTGTTTATCATTTTCTGTCGTATATTACCTTACTGTACGAGAATACCACCATTCCATCATCATGCGCCTTACTAGCAAAGGATACATTGCAAACCATAGCATAAAATGATAGTATGACCGAGTAATTAAAATAGTGAGTGTAATACAAACTCTATAAATTGATTTCATATTAGAATGAGAAATTATTTGAAAAATACGAGTCAAAGAGGAATATTTTATAAATTTTGAAGAAGATTTACGCTACCCGCGACTGTCTATAACAAGCCCTAGATCAAGCAAACGTTGTTTAAATTTCAACACAGACTTACATCAGGTAGGTTTAGACAAGATCAAATAAATAGTAATATGCTTTAATCAGGTATGCCCTTGTTAATGTAAAAGATAATATGAATTACTATAAGGTTCATTTTTGTGATGGTGATTTCTCCACAGTGTAGAAATAATTTAAAAGTAAAGTGTGTAAACGAGAAATTAAATCGTTATGCCTTCAATTCTACCACAAGCATAGACTAACATACGTATATTCAATATCAGCAGTAGTCCATTTTTTGTCTGCTTTCTACTGGTATTGCATATCAGGTTGTAAATTGATTGAATTCAGTTAATGCCGAGTATTATCATCCGAAAGTATACTTTTAAAGCGTACACAACATATGCAATGGACATCAATGGCAAATTCAAATGAGCTCAGGTCATACACATATCCAGTTTACTACTCGTATAAAGTAGAATAATGGCATCAATACAACGTAGGCTAAAACGGAAGATTAGCTCTGGTAAAGGATGCATTTGCTAATCTAGCTCGATCGTAGACGAATAATCCAACACAAATAATACATACAGTTATGATAGAAAACCATGACATGGCGTAGCCAAAGATAATCCAAGCAATCAACGTTGTCATGGATAATTTAATAATCTGAATGAACTGAGTTGATATTCGAGATGATTGAAAGAAAGTGATGAAGTGGAGGAGAATCCAGGCAAAGATTAATGTTGCATTCAATATTACTAAGACAGTATAAGATAGGCTGATAACGCTTGATAACTTCCATACAATATTGTATTCAAAGAGGATACAATAAACCAAGACGATGCCACAACTAATACGCGTGGTTGCATGAAGTAAGACCAACGAATCGAGCATGACTTGATGAGCTAAAGCATTCAATAAAATCAAGCCAACACTGCTGAAGACCACGTAGAGCGCAGTGAATAGAAAGGATGAAAATGAAATTGTTTCTTGACTAATAAAGCATAAAATGACACCAGCCATAATGATACCATAGGCAACGTACATGATCGGACTGATACTAGGTGCTCCTTTAATTTGGCGTAGTAGTATGGTGATCAATGGTATCAATGATGCAAAAGCTTCAATAAATTGTACATTGGCTACCGACAAGGCCAAATATAAGGTAGCACAAATTTGCGCTTGAACAACAGCGTAAGTTAATATCTGATTATTCACCTTAGAAGGCCAATTGAATTCACTGTCTAAGGATTTACTACTATAAAACTGGCCAAATTTACTATAGCATAGCATCACATAGGAAGCCAAACTTACTACAGTTAGTAATACAAAAGTATTAAAAAACGGATAGTGATTGGATGTAATATGCATTAGCCATTTACTGGTGTTGATAAATACAACATGGATAAAGACGGATAGCGCCAAGGAGACTTTGGGGCTGTGCTCTAAAGTAGTTAAGCGTTGCATGATGAAGGTTTACAACCGACTATTGAAGATGGAGAGGAAAAGATTAACAAGACACATAAAGTAATGAATCCAACATCCACAAAAAAGATATTGATTTTGAATAAGAAGCAACAATGAATGAATGCTGAAGAGAGAGATTGAAAGTTGGCAATCAAAACAATCAATCCTTTGATTCTATACCAAGTTGCAACTGTATTGGAATCTATCGACACTGATCACTCCTATCGTTGGATGACTTCAAGAGAATGGCGCAACCTTATCGTCTTTTAAAAGACAGAGAGCATTGGCTTAAAGTAATCGTTTGCTAGTAGTGGATTTTAGCCAATATTGTTGGAGTGAGTTCTGAGCCAGCACGAAGAGGGGCCACAGCAAATCAATCGACTCCAATCAATCAAATCTGTTGCATCGGATCGATGCCACGCAAGACGGAAACAGCAGTGCCACTGCCCATTTTGCTTCCAGCCTCAGTACCGTGCATACTTTACGGTACCGAGTAGTCTGTCTGTCTGTCTGTATGATGGGTCTCACTTCAGCTTCCAGTCGAGTACAGTACATTGTACGCCCAGTGTACACTGTACAGTGTACAAAACTTCCAGTCTGTACTGTACGGTAAATCATACAATGAAAAAAAAAAATGATGTTGTTTTGGACTAACATTGAATGTTTGTACATTTAACAAATGTACATTTTGTTGTACAGTACTGTACTAACATCATTTGTCATTGGAGTACTGTACAGGTAAAAGGAAAGAAAATGTTTTAAGGTTCAACTGGCACTATGCTAACGTTAATGTCAGTCTATTATGCCAACGATGAGTATCAGACATGAGCCATAGAGCATTGAGCAGGCGTACTACCGGCATGACGGTGACAGTACACTCGTGTCAGACTACCTCAAAGCAGTACAATACACAGAGCGCAGTGACGTTACTTACTCTACTCTACTATGCCAACGATGAGTATGAGACATGGGCCATTGAGCATTGAGCAGGCGTACTACCGGCATGACGGTCACAGTACACTAGTGTCAGACTACCTCAAAGCAGTACAATACACAGAGTGCAGTGACGTTACTTACTCTACTCTACAGTCTCTACTATGCCAACGATGAGTACAGTATGAGACATGATCCATTGAGCATTGAGCAGGCGTACTACCGCCATGACGGTCATAGTACACTAGCGTCAGACTACCTCAAAGCAGTACAATACACTGATTGCAGTGACGTTACTTACTGTACTCTACAGTCTCTACTATGCCAACGATGAGTACAGTATGAGGCATGAACATTTGAGCATTGAGCAGGCGTACTACCGGCATGACGTTGACAGTACACTCGTGTCAGACTACCTCAAAGCAGTACAATAGACATAGTGCAGTGGCGTTACTTACTCTACTCTACTATGCCAACGATGAGTATGAGACATGGGCCATTGAGCATTGAGCAGGCGTACTACCGGCATGACGGTCACAGTACAGTACTGTACACTAGTGTCAGACTACCTCAAAGCACTACAATACAGTACACAGAGTACAGTACGTACTGTACAGTGACGTTACTTACTGTACTGTAGTCTACTCTACAGTACTGTAACTACAGTATGCCAACGATGAGTATGAGACATGAGCCATGGAGCATTGAGCAGGCGTACTACCGCCATGACGGTCATAGTACACTAGCGTCAGACTACCTCAAAGCAGTACAATACACAGAGTGCAGTGACGTTACTTACTGTCCTCTACTATGCCAACGATGAGTATGAGACATGAGCCATGGAGCATTGAGCAGGCGTACTACCGCCATGACGGTGACAGTACAGTAGGGTCAGACTACTCATCTGTCTCTACTGTACGTCTCTACCTCTGCTTTGTTGAACGACATCGAGTCTTGAAGCACTTTGGCCATTGGTGTGCAGCTGCAATCTTCGCCATCGTTAAAGCCTTTTCCACTTATTTCCTACTTGATACTGATTTGACGTCGACTATCTTCTGACTATCCCAATGAGTTTATTCTCTTTTATCAGTGGCACTAAGCCGGAAAAACAACAGAGTGCTAAGGAAACGGTAAGAAATCAATTTGCAATTCCAACCTTGGCAAAATCGACTGCATTGCATCCTATCAATGGCACGGTTCCATACTCTCCATCGTGCCTGCAATCACTGTTTTCCACGCTTGCTGTCATGACAGCAAGCGTGGATCATGCCCATCACAGATTAGACTAGTCCAGCTCAATGACTTGATCAATCTTATGGCAAGAAAGATACTTTGAATGTTTTACTATAGACACTTACCATGGCACGTCTTGTAGACTATCCTTGATTGCTACAAATGATGGAAAGGGTTGTACTACAATTCTCGGATTGTTTTAGCTTGCAATGAGGATAAGGGACATTCCCTGTTGAAAACGTAGTCCATACTGTAGAATAGAGTACCTTCAATCTTACTCCAAGTGATCATCAAGTCTTTTCGCTTCATAACTAGAAATAAGTGGAGTAACTTCGCATGAAACTAGATTGGAATAGGTTCTATATCATTCATCTATTTTTACTATGTCTTCAGCCCTGACCAAAATTAGCCTTGTGTTGCAAAAATAGCTTACGCGATCTTACTCCTGGTATACCGTTGATGTAGTAAAAATGAAGCGATTGATTTCCATCGTACACTATTGACTAACCGCGTATTGGTTCAATGCATTCAACTGTTCCATGGTAGTCCTACTCTTGAATTAATACTTGAATATTGATTTCAATCTTGTATAAGATGGGTATGTTATGCAGGGTTAATAGCAGTCTTCAACTACAGGGTAGTCATAGATGGATTGCTGCTCATCACTCACTTTACAGTAGGTATGGCTAAACATGATCAAAATCATAGCAGAAATCTCTATTAGTACTGATTGAAATGTAATCAAACAACCATCTCTAAGTATACTGTAACAGATATCAAGATTACTACAAATTAGAACCAATCATTTTAGCGTAGATCCAATTGATTCAATTAAAGCCATAGGTATATAGACGTAAAAAAGAATGACATATTTTGACACTAGGATCATAGTTCAGCACTATAGGCTCTAGCGGAATGAATTCACAACGTTGTGCATACAACATCATGTATCATTCCATGTGGCCATTGAAGTGTTGCTAGCCTATGCTATTGCCTTTTCTTTTAATTTCGTTTACCCGGGCTTATCAAATTGTGATAAAGGAAATACCGTTGGCAACGCGATTGGATAGAAAAGCATGTATACTAACTATTCTACGATCATCAACATATTAACTCATTTCGTTTATGTATAGGTTGAAAAGCTTTGCAATCGTGTTAGTACCTCAACATTATTAGAAGACAGACGCGATGCACTTAGAGCATTAAAATCCTTGGCTAAGGTAAAATCAATGGTGATACAATTCAATGTCATAAAATGATAGATACAGGTTATCGACATCATGTGATAAATTACCATCATTTACTATACGATACGGCATCAGTAATAGGGTAGATGAAATTGATAATACTGAAATTTCTGCTACCCTATCCAGTATAGTAGTGGCGTATATAAACAGCATAAATTTATAGTGCATTCGAGTAAAATATTCCTATAGCCTTTTGAAAGATTGTAAATAATTAAATGTACAATTCTTCACTATACAAAATGACTAATACTGTATTGTAGTCATGTAATGTTCAACATTACTGCTACAATCTTAATTTGTACTTTTCACATCTGCGACTTTACCGTTACTATAGTATAATGTAAGTATATTATGATCGCACATTGCGTAATTGCAATAGAGTAGTAAGCTTAATATATATAATTACGTGTGTGCAGACTTACAGAGACGAAGTTGGTTCGCAGGGACTACACTTATTCGTCAATGTTTTACAAGTGGACAAGTAAGAATTTCTATTTCTAAATGAATAAATAGTATAGCTCTGTTTTCATCTTGCACTACAGGTTTATCCCTTGGTAATCTGAGCTACCTTAAATAGTTGACGTATTATTAACAACCATGAAAACTGTCAAGATATTAAAAATTAACTTGACGTTTTGAATGATCACGGTAGGAGCGACGGCGAAAGTGTTGGCTATGCCTTGGATACATTATACAATTTAATGGCTACCGATATTCCTCCAAGTGGTTAAAAAATTTCTTTACCTTCACACTACTTCACAGAGTATCAGTCGTAAATGTAATACTACTTCTACTTCCGTCAAAATTTATTGTCTTTTTTTAAAATAATTTACTGGCATAGATCCTTACTATGGACAAACTGTAATGTCTCCGCAAACAGCTGAACTTGGTCGTCATTTTAGCGAAATTTTCCTACAAAATCAGGATAATTTACCCTTAATCATTAGTTGTTTGGAAGTTAGTGGAACTACAAGTAGAAAATCTTTAAATTTTTACAATAATTTGGTTGATTTAGTATTGATGCGTTAAAATATTTACTTTCCTGGTTATTATGATGATTAGGATTTCGACTTTCAAGTACGATGGCCGGCAACTAAACTACTTACGGCACTGTTAATAAATAATGGGTTAGTAATATTAAATTTTTCTATATTATTCTATTAGAAAGTCGCACAAACTTGTAAATGTATAATAATGATATAAAATCGCTTTTCAGGCCTCAAATTCAACAAAGTATGCTCACTATTCCTATGGGTAAGCATATTAGGCAATGCGATTTAAGGTATTAAATAAATATGAAAATAGTAACATTCATTAAAACGATTACTACCTATAATTGTAGCTGTCGCAAGAGTTGTAGACTTATTAAGCGATGAGAGAGAAGTCGTTAGGAATGAGGTAACGTTAGGAATTTTAAATGTAACCTTAACTTATAATAAAATAATCTCAATAAATAGAAAAAGGCATATAATACGACTTTAGACACTGACATTGATTTATTCTAGGGATTACTCCTCATGATGCAGCTTACGAAAGCTAATAACGCAATACAGGTAATACGATAGTTGATTAACGGTCTTTAACACAACGTAGTGATGACAATTTTTATTTCCCTTGAAATAGAAATTAATTGCATTTGAAAACGGATTCGATTATATAATTGATATTATTGCAAGGGAAGGTTATAGTGTTGGTGGTACGTACAATATAGTATAAATCATAAATTGTATTATTTCCACATCTTATAATTGTCTACCTAGACGAATTTGTTAATTACTTTTTGTCAAATTCACTAAACATTTAATTCAAATTTTCTGTAGGAATCGTTGTTGAAGATTGCTTACTCATATTAAGGAATTTATTAAATTCGAATGTTTCCAATCAAAATTTCTTCAGAGAAGGAAGGTATTGCATACATTGGACGGTATACAGTAAAGTTTACACCTTTTATCCCGCGGCTTTTATAAACTACTGTCATCCTTTTCCTAAATAAGTAACTACTTTTTTTTAGCTATATTCCAAAGCTAGCTGCCTTTTTTGATTTAAAAGCGGCCAGTGCAGCCAGTAAGGACAAATTCAGTTATCTCTAAACATTTATTGCCGTACTTATTTTAGTGTAAATTGTATTTCTTAAAGATAATATAGACGACTCGGATACAGATGAATTTGATAGCGCAAAGCAAAAAGCGGCAAACATCATTCATATGTTACAAGTCAGTAATAATTGCCTCCACATTCTAATTAAAAATTTATTACAACCCAAACTGTGATGAATGATTCATGATGTATATTTACATCTTTGGATAGATATTGCGTTTGCTGGTCTCACCGGACAATTCACAACAATCGTTGGTATTATGTCAGAAAGTAATTTTCCAATGCGGTATGTATGTAGGCCCCCATCCATTAGTGATGAATTATTTCTTCATGACGACATTTTTTATTAATCATTTTGACCCTCTCTGCCGTTAGGATTACTCAAAGTATTATGCGAATTATTGTTATCGTCCTCTGTTAGTGAAGACATTGTATTAGAGGTATTTAGTTTACCTACGGATAAGTTGTTGATTGCTCGAGTAAGATTCTTGTAAGGCACTTAAAAATCTTTATTTATGACATCTAATTAGCTTCTCATTACTATTGGCGATACCCTTCGGGGAGCTAACCAAAATCAAGATTACTTCGCAAAATTTTCTTTATCTGCAGATGCTCAAAGGTTCATCTTACTTAATTATTGGCAGTCTAATTTTGACTAAATAATCTTATACATGTGCTCTATTATTTGTACTAGAACTGCGATAATAGTACTTCTCTTAAACATGGTAACTGATAAAACAACTTATCCATTGAAATATGCCTCCTTATACTGTTTCAAGGTAAGCATAAAAAATTTGATGATTTTTTAATTGATTCTAGTAGTTCAAATAGCTTAATTTATCTGTAAAGATTTGATAGCTACATAGAAAAATTTAAATTATTCTGCTGTTATTCCCTAGTGCTTTCTATATGGTAATGAGCTAGGCCAAGCGCAACTGGTAGCTACTCTCTTGCCATCTTCTGTTGAAGGTCTGCTGTATAGTTATCGTTAATAATGTTTACTGATAAAATAGTAAAACATCGATCTGTATTAAATATGTACTATATCCTCTCCTTGTATAGCCGCTTCTATTTCGCCTGGACAGTTAATATGCGCTGGATTGTTTAGGTATCCTAAATTCATATTGAATGTGAAATAAGTTGATCCTCAAAATTTTCTTTTTAAGCCATCTACTGCATGCACTAACTGATAATAATAATACATTACATATTACAACATTTACTCTAATCTAATATGGGTATTAGCCTGGATCAATTTTGTAGCTGGTGTGCAGCTATGGCTATTTCACACATGTTACGACAAAATATCGCTCAAAAAGAACAATTGTTACGTGTTCAATTAGCTACTAGAGTAGGTAAGTATATTATCCATTTTTATCCAGTCGTTACAATTATCATGGTAGTGATAGTACGATTTAATTTGTGATGGTATTTGTGTAACATGCAAATGTCTTATTGACATAATATTTTGGTAATCTGAAGGTAGCCCAGCAGTATCATTGCTACAACAATGTACAAATATCCTAAGCGAGGTATGATACTATAAAAATTGGAGGAACCCTGTTGATGTTAACCTTCATTTAAAATATATTATTTTCATAAATCATATATAGAATACTGGCTCTCCAGTTGGAATTAACCACCTAATTCTTTTATGTTCTTGGCTGAATGAATGTCCTACGGCTGTTGCACATCTCGTTAACAACCCTGTCAACATTCCTTTCGTATCCTTATTTCATACAAAGTACCGACTTATTTTTGACAGTGATGTTGTAGTCGTATTGATCTTAATACGTAAACTCTAGCTAACTACACAGATAGACAGAGATGCAAACGAACATGAGAAGCTTATGCGTGGACTATCAGCACTATTACTTGGTATATGTATGGTATACAATGATGGTGCCGTTGAAGCCTGCAATCGGTTAGAAGTATTGATTTTCAAAAGGTTCTACTAGGGCGACCAAGTAATTTGTTTTATTTATGTATTTATTATCTTTATATCACATTTAGAAAAGCGCTTCGAAACCTGATAGCAAGTAGGATAGGTGTTGGAAAATACAGGGATTGCTTGAACCAAATATCAAAGAATGAACAGTTTGTAAAAGCAACTCACAGAATGCAGGTATTGTCACAATCGATACGATACCATCACAAATTAAATTGAATTCCAATTTATTAAAATTTGATATATATATATATAAATAGATGCCAAGTGAGCCAGACGATCATTTATTTTTTGATGAAGAATTTACGATTATGTTTAGAAACGTTGAAGGTGCTAGCATAGACCTTTAGTATATTTTATAATGTAAAACGATTTACCATTAAAAATTGGTAACATTTATACTATAATAAATAAATAAAAACTTTTAAGCTGATTTCCATACTCACTTCACTTAGTAATTGTAATGGTACTATTTATCAGGATACATATTAAGAATTGCTAGTTCAGATGACACAAAGCCGGAATTGGATAGCAAAAGAGAATCAACAATTGATGAAGAGGCGATTGTGCAACCGTACAAAGACCTTATCAGAGAACAGGTTACCACGCTTATTTAATGATCTTAAATTACACGATACTACATATCAACTTGTATTTATTTATAGCCATAATGAATGATCTTAATTAAGAAGTGAATTCTTGTTAACAAATTGTAGGATGAAGAGCTAAGAATTTTGCGTAGACAATGTGAAGCATTTGAAACTAATAAAGATATGGTTTGTTTTATTAGCTAATAATTATTAACGAACCATCAGGTTATGTATTTCGATAGATTGTTCAGTGAATACTATCAGTAGATAGCCTTATTGCCGTTTTACGAAGCGTACTTGATAGAATATGACAATTTACTTATTGCTACTTTACCTACTTTCTTACAATAAAATATTATTTCTGCAGCAGTGAATTGTTATGATATACCATGCCCATTTTTTTATAACGATTTCTAAACTTAATAATAGTTTTATTAAATTTAGTTCTTTTAATTTCAGATTGAACAAGAGCTGACCAGTGCGTCTCATGAAATATTATCTCTGCGAGAACAAAATTCGATGTTATTATCTGAGCATAGTTAGTAATTCCATCTGAACTTTGTTTATTTGTCATCAGAAATAAGCCGATTTGTAGTGATTGAAATCATTACGATGTCTCTAGACAATCATCCAGATGCTTCTGCCAATAGTGCTGCATTTTTTTATCGGAATGATCCTAATAACATTAATCAAGAATTGAAAGATATGGAAAGGATTAAGGAATCTCAAGCCAAAGAAATTGCTAATTTACAAGTACAGTTGGAGCAAAAAGTTCGTAACTTATGCCGATACCCAATTACATTGCATCATTGATACATTTATATACCATAGCCAGTTATAACTGTTATTGCTTCTATATGTTCATATTGATAGACCACAGAATTATCAGAGTGTAAAAGTATGATGAAATCAAGAGATGACAAATCTGAAGAGTTGAATGATCAAAAGAAACTGATCAATTCCTTAAACGAACAAATTGGTGAATTAAAGAGCAGCAACGAAAAACTCCAGAAGAATCTAGCTGAAGAGGTACAATATATTATGAAAATAAACCTGGATTTTCCGTTAGAATCTAATCCTTTGTCGTTATCATTAACAGTTGAGTGCGGTTAAAGAACCGGAAGGTGTAGATATTTCAAATGTGGAAAAACTGCAGGATAAAATTCTTGAGTTAGATGATGCTTTAGAAACCGAAAGAAGAGAGAAAGATAGGATTCAGTGTGAATTGGGTAATTTACAGCATGAGCAGGATGATTTGTTACTTTTATTATCTGATCAAGAGAAAAAAATTAAGCAGTTAAAGAAAGCCATCCTTTCTCTTGGTGGCGATGTTAGCAATGAGGAGGACGATGATTTTGACATGTAATACGCTACCACATGCTATTTTGAATCCTGTTTTCATTCCTGAATTCAGGATAAGTTATTTTTTATTGCTCGCTAACATTTTCTAGCGATTTGGTTTTTATAATGTATTTAAAGTACATTATTTTCTGATGCAGTGTTCCATGCATTTCCTTATGATAATAAGAATAGTATCGTAATAGTTTTGACTTAAACAAAATGACCGAGCAGGATTATATCCTGATTGCAAAGTATTTCTTCTACTATAGACTTCTATTAACAATGATGGTATGCTCCATATTGAATGGATATAAGTACAATTAATGTAGGCAATACCTTATAATAATCAATTTTTATGGATAACAGTTATTAAATTTAGCAGGTTAAGCGTATCTATGTCATTAAGTTAACTAGCAATATCTCCAGGAATCCATTGAAAATCGTTTGAAATTGCTACTTTTAAACCAGATAATATATTCAGATTAAATTCTCGGAATGCAATGAATATGTGCCTTATAAATGGCATCCAAAAATATTAATAATGATAATTATAATCAATAAATTATGTGATAAATACGGAATATTTGATCTCTTAGACACAGAAAACTATACCCTTCTAGAATGATAAGGCAGTTAATCCTTGTGATCCATAATGTGATACTATAATATGATTGGAGCTACGCATACTATTCCGCTTTATTTTTACTAAAGTTTGCACAACCATCGACTCTAACGTTGATAGGTAGAAACTAATCAAAGATTTATGAAAAATTGATGTCTGGATGCGACATATATCCGGGCCAAATCTTTTACTCAAATATAGAAAAGGATTTAAGAGTAAATATCTGGATTGGCCATATAATAACTTTGATTGCTGATACGGAAAGGTTCATTTTATATGGACAGTGGAATAATTTTAATGCAACAGTTTACTGTGGTTGTAATAACCAACACCATAGATCGTGACGGAAGCTATCAAATACGATTTATCCCAATTCGCTCTATCCAGATCCAATAGACCACATCGTCATAATAGTATTTCATTTTTTATCTTCTTTTTAAAACTTTAATAACACTAGTTCAAGTATTATGTTAGGAGATTGTCAGCACTTCAAGTTGTACTATGGGTAAAAATCTCAAGAAGAATAATACTGAAAGAAGATCTCAATAGTTTCTCGTTTAGTAAATATTTAATATACGCGTATTCTCCCGCATCTATATCGTAAATATAGCATTTATAAGGACTAAAATCAGCAATCACTAGCCCATATATAGACAAAGTTAGTAATGCAAAAGTTTATTTTATAAATTTATGATCGGGCACTAATGACTCCAGTAATGATATTCTGAAAAATATTGAGGAAAATATTATCTGTAGCATTTTCTATTTATTATTAAAACGATTAGGATATAGGTTTTCAAGTAGGAAACGGATAAACATGTATAGATTATCCTTTAGTAACCTTAATTTTTCAAGACTATATGCTCCATGACAAAACAAGGAATTTATTGTCTAATTTAGCTAATTAAAAGTTGGTAAGCTGCAATCCAAGCAGGGTGAGCCTTGCTATCAGATATATCTATATACATGATTATCATCCGTATCCTAGAAGAAAGAGTATTTCAAATCGAGCTGCATTTTAGACATAACATTTCAAAACTATTGCTCATTGATTTAGAGTTCTCTGAGAAGAAAGATTCGAAATAAATTCATTTTAAATTCATACATCGTGGTTAATATTTAAGCAGCGAAAGAACAAAAGTGTTATGAAGATTATCAATATCCATTTTTATTTGCAACTAATGAATGAATCATTATTTTCAGGATAACATAAATAAGAAAAGCGCTATTTAATAAAATTTGATTAGTTCTCATAACAATATTTGAATAGATTGCAATTAAACACCGAGTGCAAATATTAAAATATTACTTGGGTTGCTTTTAAAGATGCATTGTTCATACAACTGTTTGAGTATCTAAAAGTTTAATTTAGATCCTTGAAAATATCTGGAAAATATGTATCGAACATCATGAATAGAATAATACAGACAGGATGTCAAACCTGGAATTTCAACTGTTATTAAATTTCCAGGACAATGCGACCGTTGTCACAATTTAAGGTATTTCCGCTAATTGATAAATGTCATTTTCTTCCTCATATTAAAGTATAATATTCATCATGAATGAAGGAGAAGTTATTACAGCAGTTACTTTCTGTAATTAATTTACTTTTATTTTGTAGCTACTCTCGATATCTAGCAGTGCATTACCACCAAGAAGCAATTCAAAGCGATTGCAGAAATTAAAAGAGAAATCATAATAATTAATAATTGCCACATTTTATACTTTTTTGGTCTATGATAATCAACTTACTTTTCTATTACAACTATTCTCAAGTATGACTGCTAATATCGTAGCCAAAGGGCAATTAATGATAGAGCATGAAATTTAAGAGGAATTTTTAATACTTTATTTACATTCCTAGAATCAATCATTACTGGTTCTATTATGATAACTTATAGTCAATATCGTCTTTAACGGTCAACTGTATTTCCCTTATAGAATAACGAAAAGAAATCATGTACTACGGGTATATTACCATCCTATAGCTAATTTATTCTTCTACTGTAGCTATTCTCAATAACTTCATCTCAATACAGGAGAAACTATAATATTTTAACTAGAAAATGTAAGAAAGAGACTTTATTTCAGCCAAGTCTATTACTATTCGACTGCTAACTTGCCGCTATATTGTAGCGATTTCTCGAAAGTATAATTAGCGTGTAGTCCATATCAGTTCATAAATTTTTAACTTCAGTTTACTATTTTATAACACTTAAACTATTACTGCAGTTGCCTATCGAAAGCTGTCCAATTCGCAAAACAAAATTTGGGGACCATTAAAGAAATTTTTTCTTTTGCCTATTATTGTTCTTATGCTCGTAAAGTAAATATAACGTGATTCTTTCGAGAAAAATTACGATTACATTACTGTTTGCAGTAAACGATCTCAGCGAAAAATTTCTGGACTGTTATTACATGAAAAAGAAAACATTAAATATGGTCGCTGCTTCTATTAATACTCACTGTACTAATTGACGCCTTTTCTAGGGCTTACCGACACTGTTACTGTGAATCAATTAAATTATAAATGGAAAATTACATCCATCTTGACATAAACGATATAAATACGAAAGTTCTTAGTATGTTATCTTGCCAGTCGTATCGTAGTTTGATAATTAATTTGCAATTGTTCTTAATAATGCAATTAATCTGCAATTAAAGAAACTCGATGAACCCCTTCCCCTATACAATGTACATAAAAATGAGGGGGTTATGCCGATATCTAAAAGACTTATATTTACCTGTTAATGAAAGGGATTAAAAGTGAAAAGGAATTAAATTTAATCGTAAAGCTGTCTGATATAAAATAATCTAAAATCTATATCGGAATTAGGTATAAAGCGCTATAGCTTTCAAGAAAACCCTTCGATGATATCAATGCATGCCTTAGAGAAATTAATGTATTCATAATTACTCAGGGAAAACTCATTAACTTTACTTTCTCTTATCATCTGACGAACATTTATGACATTAGGCCCCAAGAAAAAGTTTTGTTTAGCTTAATCGATCAGCAATTCGTATTATCAGAAATTTTTAATAATGTCGCTACATTGAACAGGTAGAAATATTCACATTTTGCAAGGAAAAATTCTTTACATTACTTTACTGCAGTAGCCTCGGATAAATATATATTTCATTACGAGTTATTGCCGCATTTACTGGAACGATAAAAATTATGATGATTTATGAACAATGAAATTAATTTTTCTTAACGCCTGCCGTAAACGACTAAGCTATAACTGCTTTAAGCTCCAACGTTCTACTATCGGAAAATACAAGTTACTGATAGAATATAAATTCAACTCTAATGAAGCCTTCGTTGAAATAAAATTGCACGACTTTACTGTAGCTTACTGTAATAGCGTTGTAACGGACAACCAATTTCAGATAATAAATGCTAATTAAAGAAGCCTTTTGGAATCGAAAATCAGGTAACGAAATTTGGAAAAATATTTTTGCGTCTGTGTGGCCTTGCTATAGATGAACAAGGCCTGGTGTTTAATTTCTTGTATTAAAAGTCGCATTGATTAACAAAGTTTATAGTGCAGTAGAGAGAAAATTAAATGGTCTTATTTTAAAACTAATTTTGCTACATCGGCTCTATAGACCAAAAGCAGGATCTGCACTAAGGTATATTATACAGTAGCCGATTAATTGAATACAAGCGCTTTACTTGCAGAAAATAAATATTTCATTGACTAAAACTTTTACAAATGAAGCAAAAACGTTACCGGAAGATTGAAATTACTAATTTTCCGTGCTATATATTATCGGAGTATGATGAATGAGAATCAGTACTTTAATTGTAAAGCAGGCAAGATTTTAATTGCCTTGTAGCTTTCAATGCAAATGAAGCAGAAATCACTTTATGAGATTCAAGACTAATTCTCCACTTCAATAATATCGTGATAGAAATATTCTGTTTTAGTTGAAATAAGTACCATATTTTGCTTTAAGAAATAGTTTTTTATTCTAAATGCTTACAAATACAGCGAAATCATAGTATAAAACTCAAAATGAAATTTCTCTGTCTTAGCATTGCTTTAGTTACAATAATAAAAAAAGTTTGATGCCTCCTCTTTTAGCGTAAAAAAGGTTTCTTTTGTTAACCTTAGGCTGTAGAAAATCTGAATATCATGGCGTTGCAGAGATTCATTTTAGTCTACATTTGCTTACAGTATTTGATGTTCTGGTGATGAGTAAAGAAGAACAGCGTACTGTAGTTTGAACAACTTGTATATGAATTTTCTCTGTTATTAATTGAAGAATTACTTTGATACTCTTCTTAATCCATCATAAGATACTCCCGAGGAGATGCGTGGGACATTTTAGAAAGTTGAAGAAAACGCTTCTTCTTAGCTTAATTATGTTACAGTTCCAATGGCACTTTAAAGATAGTCTCCTCATTTGTTACGATCGCCACTCACCAAGCAAATCTAAACAAGAGGGTAAATTGGCTTGTTTACTCATAAAGAAATAAAACTAAAGTTTATATGCCAGGATCTTCTTACAAGAATAAATTAGCTATCCTGGCTCAATGAAGATAAAAAGATCCATTTATTAGCCAACGTTATTGTATCGAAAGATTGGATCAATAATGGCTATAAAGCTGAACAATTAATCGTCCGCTATCATATTTTACAATCGGAACGGATCAATCAATATGAATACAATTTTAACACAGGATAGTTTAAATAATTATGACGTCTAGTTTACAAATTAATTAATCAATAAAAAATAAAATATGAACAATAATTCATTATTAAGTTAATAAACGTAATTATTTCAAAGCTATGAACAGACTTTGACTGTGGATATGAAGCAAATCAGAATAAACTAACTAGAATAAGAAAGTAATTAACGTTAGACTTTACAATTAAGTTTATTTGATATTGTCTAACATTTGTTGCCATTTGAGTTTCACTGTTAGCGCCTTCTATCAGCAACAAATTGCGATCATCGATGTATCAACATAGAAGGAAGTGTTTTTTATAGACAATTCTCCCTTTTAAACGCCACTGTGTCTAGCAATCATCATCGTCACAATAAAATTCGACGAAAATCCAATTTTTTTAATAGAATCAGTCTGTTTTTTCTCTATTGAATTGTTTTCTCATCCATAGAAACAGAAAGGCTTATATCATTTATTTCCGTGGCAGATATTATTACCTTGGATTCGAATTATCCTTTTCCAACGGGTAGGATCATAGATCAGTAAATATTACCTGTCAAAGTTTGTCGATTTCAATTTTCGTCTTACTTTCCTAAACAGAATCCCTACTATTAACATTAAACTCTTAACATTACAATAAGAAAGAGGTAAGAAGAAATTTTAAAGTGGAAAAGTGTATCAAGTCAGATCGAAATGAAGCTTTAAGACAAATTTACGCCACTATTGATGAGAGTTTTTTTCAAGAAAATTCTTCATAAATGTTGTTATCCTTTGCTACTTAAAAGAGATACAAAAATTTTATATTGATTAACGACAGTTAAATAACAGAAGTTACACGAATGACACTGTTGACAACTTATATCATTCTTAATTAGAAAACAATATCATTCAGTTATAAGAATTTCAACGGATATTAACTTCATTTCATAAACAATTAGTAATTCAAGCCGCACCATGCCCACTCCGGATGTCAGTTTTAATAACAAATCAATTCAGTCTATGCCAACCATCCCTACATTGGCAGTACAACTTACTGCTTCGATACCATCGGCTATAATCTTCATTTTTGGAATAACTGGCAATCTAGCTATCATCATAACCATGATTCGATATCACAAAACTAAAAGTAAAGAACGTTTCTTTTGTTTAATTGGCAATCTAGCAGGATACGACATTTTCATTCTACTCTTTTCAATGACCCTTAAAATGACAAATTACTTTATTACTTGGCCTTTTGGATCATTTCTATGCCATATCTACAACGGCTTTCAAAGTTACTTTATGGCTGGCTCTGCTATCACAATGACATTTATGGCACTAGAGCATTACCGTGTTGTAATCAAAGAAGTGAATGCTTATAGCAAAAGTAGCGGAAAAATTATTATTACCGTAGTGATAGCGCTAACAGCATCTATTTGTGCTTGTCCTAGCATTATCTATTCCAAGTATGTATCTCACTCAGAATCTTCAGTAAAATGCTTCATTCAATTTTTTCAAGATCTTAACCAAGATAAAATAGTATGGCAAACTTATCGAAATTGTCGTTATGTTATTTTCTATCTCTTTCCACTTATTGTTGTTGTAACAACTTATTTTCAAATGTTACTAACATTGAATCGATATTCAAGGACGTCTTTGGCAGAATATCATTTAACGAAGGTCAAAGAGCAGAAAAATATCATGAAAATGATTTTATATACCAACGTAACATTTGTCATTTGTTGGACACCTTATTTTATGTATGGTTTCATTGTCTATTTCAATCATACGGTTGATGATGGCATACAACTACATCGGCTAATTCGAGTAGCTTGTGAACTAATTGCTTATATCAACAGCGCTATTCATCCATTTATCTACGCTAAATATATGCCAATATGTCGACAAGCATTATATCGCCTTTCATGTTTTAGACAATCGCCATCGTCAAATTCAAACTGTGAATCAAGTACTAGTCACCATGTTACGGTAACCAGTTGCTGACATGAATTCAATCCCAATCAAAAGCATGCTATTCTGACTATTTTGAGTAGGTTATTATTTTACTAGTACTGAACTTAGTAGACAATATCCTTATCATTTTATATCAGTTTCTATTAATTCACTATATGTGCTAGGTAATACTAAACGAAACTTTAACTTGAAATAACAATCAGATCTTACTCTTAGACGTGCATTTGTACAGTACACTTACACAATTTAGCAGATTTTGAAAAATTTATAACCAATAGTTGTCGATTTTTTACTGTCATTATAATAAATAAATCAAAAACCGTACTCGATAATAATACACCGTGTTCATTAAAATAATTTGTATTTTAATAACTCCAATGGTTCTTCTGAAACATATGAGATTCAAATAAAACTTATTTTAATGACCATAATTCGGACTGGTATTTCTAGTAAACAGATATCATTGTTTTGTATTGATCGACATCGACTATACGAATAGCTTGCATTTAATGTTTTTGGTGATATTAATAAGCTACCTAATAAACAATCCAGAATACTACCGTCAAAACAGACGGTAACTTACAAAATCAATTAGGTGATCAGCGAAGAAGTAGCATTTAACGATATCATATCAGATCTCGTTGTAATCTACAGTATTGTCCATATTTAGAAATGTTTAGTACGTGATTAAGAACAAAATTAGAGTTCTTCAAGTATTAAACAAATCAAATAATAAATATTGTAAATATATATGAATCAAATTTTTAATTTAAGTCATTACTCTATACCTTAGTAATGGCGAAAAAATAAATTTAATGCAAACTGTGTAAGTTAAGCAAGATCGTTAAACGAACAACTCATTTTTCTATCAATAGTACGTAGTAAAATAAATTTGACAATTAATAGATCATCATCGTAATAATACTGCAATTTTTAAGTAATTAAAATTTAATAAATAGCAGCTATGAAGGCATCATCAGAAAAATGCCGTAAAAGAGCAACAAAGTTTGATTTCAATTAATATATGCCTTAAAAATACGACTGACAATCTAATTAAAACTAATGCAGGCAAATATTAATTATTGATTTAAATTACAGAGCGTTTGTGCCTTAATAATTTGCAAAATAAAGACTTTCATTATTGAGGCATCAATATCTAAGAGCATTAATATCTACTTAATAACATAGTCCTTTTTCTTCATAGATCAAAATAACTGCTAAAGGATAACAGCCGTATTATCAGGACCGCAAAAAATATCTTGCGCTGCATCTTTCAAAGGCACCTAATATCGTTGGCACGCGTGAAATAATTGAAACTTAATCCATGACAATTATCGAAATCATAATTATCATTCACCTATACCTATAGTAATAAAGCATTCTAATTTTGTGTCGTCTCCAGTGCACTGCACAAGATACAAAACTTACATGACATGGCGCAAAAGCATCTTCATCGTTACCTATACCAAGTTTACCAAAAGAACCTCTACCCCAAGTATAGACTTTTCCAGTGTCTAGACATAAAAGATAGGTTTGCCCGTAAATAAAAAGTTATTTGCAACACATTATTACTAAAATGTACCAGATAGTGCAACTGCATGATTTATGCTGCATGCAATTTTCTTCACTTTTGCTCCATCTGGAAATCGAATTAACCGCGGTTCACGACAATCCATGATCTCGTTACCAACTCCCAATGCACCAAATCCCCACACAAATACATTACCCGTCTCTATCGATGTGAAATGAGTAACAACTTAACATTTGATCATGCAACCTCAGAATTAAAGCTTTAACTCATCTCCCTTTAAACCCTACCAGTGCATGCTAAACAAAATGAACCTCCAGCTGCTACTTGTACAATCTTCTCCTTTATGCAGTCTAAGCTTATACGTTTGGGAAGACAAATCTAAAGTTTATAAATAATTTTAAAGAAGCAAGCGATGAGACAGACTTCAGTTAACATAAGTTTTCATTATCAAGTGCTTGGGTCTGAAGACTCCAAAATAGAAAAAAGGCACCTGCTTTGCATCATCATCAAACTGTAGCTGACTATATTCTGTATCACCCCAACCATAGACAGAACTATCATCTATTTCAAAGATAACAAGAAAATTACTGGATTGCTATACGTACAATATTGCTTTACATAATCAAAACACTCATATCCCAGACCTGCTAGAGCTAGCACAGTATCAGCTGAAGTGGCTATATGGACGATTGTTTTGTGCTTTAGCTCTCCTTCAACACAGGTAAATTGGTAAATATTTTCATGTTTTCCCAATCCTACGCGATAGAACAAATTCATTATACAGTAAATCTATTAAATTAGAGACGATAGGAATCAACAGCAGGCAACAATTATCCTCTAGCATACTTGCGAAGTGTTAAGTACTTGCCTGATTGGCCGTCGCTGCTTAAACCACAGGAAAATACCTGGCCATCGGTTGTAACTAATAAACTATGATCCAGTCCACAGCAAATCTGTCAACGATACAAAATTAGTAAGTATATTGTAAGCGCTTATTATATGAGAACTAAAATGAAAGCATTCAAAATTTCAAATACCTGTTTGAAAGATAAATTGGGTAAAGACTCTAATTGCGTAAACCTTGTGACCTCTGGCTCATGCGATTTCCTATAGAAAGACATGACATGCGAGCAATTAAAGAGGAGCTCAATTCCAGCAATGTTTCTCCTTCCATAATTGTAAAATTCAGTAATAATTACGGGTATCAGTAAGCAATATTTACTGGTTAATTCCGCATTGACCAAACAAATTGTTACCAGCTGCATAGACTAAAAATGCAAAAATACAATGCATTACTAGAAGTTACTACACGATATAATGTAGCAAGTTGCACAATGTACATATAACTTTCCAGAAACACTGTTCACATTAATTAACTGGTACAAATACGAAACGGAGAAGTAATGGTGCTTTAGATAGCTCAACATTAGTCACAACAGAGCATTATAAATCGATCTTAAAATAATATTATATCTAGTCAGAATGCCTTGCAATCGTTGTCAATATGATTATCAAAAAGCTACATTGGTAGTAGTTGATTGTATTCAATTAAAGTAATACCAATTTGGCTTGTATGTTACTAAGCATTACCATAGTAAAGTTAATTTGATACCTTGATTGTTTGTTGTTAAGATTAAAGAATGACTTCTTCCACAAGCAACTTGTTGAATAGGAAAGTTATGAGGCATTTCGACTGATCTTATACCTGAAATAGAACGAGCGTTAGCGATTATTAATTACCATTATCCATGAACAATTAAATTGGCTATTTCTTCTGATATCCATTAAACGATCGCGTAATAAAGGATACTAAAGCTAGTTTGACAATTAGTGCGCAACCTTCAATACATTCATTTTCAGATGCCGGTAATCCTAGCTGTGAACGTAAATTTAATCCAGTAACAAGCACATCAGACGTTGCATCTGCCATAATAAGATAGTTATAGCCAATGCCAAGGCTAGTAATCTGTCCGGTAAGAGAGTGCAATTAGGAACTTTATAAATTAACTCTTATGCAAACAGCATCCAATTTAAACTTATGCGTACAATCAAGCAAACTTGTCACCAATATTGTAATCTTTTTTTTTTAATCTATAAGGAAATATCTGTAGAACTAGTGCGACTGACCAATAACGAGAGTCCAACAAGGCATCTTGTTCAATTACTAAATGCTGAATTTGATGCAATGCCTCAAGCAAACTAATCTCTAGTATTCCATACGTTGTATTTATGTCATTCATTGCAGCTATACCTGTGGTGAGTCCAGAAGCATCGGTTTAGCAATATACTGTGTACTTAAAGTGCCATCAACCTTTTTTTCTACCAAATTCTGGCCTAAAATACCGCTATCAGCAGCCCCCCAGAGATAAACTCGACCTGCACGAATGGCTGCTGATGATATTGAACGGCAATTAACAGCAGCTATCCTTGTCGTAGTAGCGCTGCATCGTAATCCTCGTGGACAAAGATGTAACACCTTGGTCATTGTAGTTAACTTGTTCCATAGTACCATCCTAAAGACTTCAAGTTTTGCAATTTTAATGGATAAGCTTAATCGCAGGTAGTGATGAAAGTAATAGCCAATGTTTAACGAGTAGTTACCATAGCGAATAGTTCGACGATGAGCATTTTATTCTTAACCTTAAATCCTTAATTACTCAGCTTCTTTAGTACGGCTCGGCTCGGTTCGGTACGGTGCGGTATTTACTTGGACAGAGTTGGACTCAGTACAGTACTGTACTGTACAGTACAGTGTACAGTATAGTATACAACGTAGAGTACATAGTACTGTGGTGCTGTACTGTAAGATACAGTACCATGTTAGTGATCCGGCTGAGACTAGTGGTCTAAATGGTCTGATGTGGTCCGGTCCGGACCCGAGTCTGCAGAATGGAATGCAAAGTATCATGGAGCATGTCTGCCTCCAAGTTAAGGCAACAGCTGTCTAACGAAAACATGAATAATATGACCGATCTTGGTCCTACTGCATGTATTTATACTATAATTAGTAGTAGCAGTCGTTATACCCTAATATAGATTCAATCTAGCTATTTACACATCAAGAACTACTCATGGCAATTACCGTGACACTACAATTTTTCTGGAAATACAGTCGTAGAGCAGACTTTTTATCTCTATGCAGTTTGACTAACTTTATTGTGAGTTGTAGCAGTAGAGCAGAATAAGATATAGTCGATAAACATACTCTACAGAATTGGCGTAACTACTTTGAAAACGATGATACCTAACTTGTTGACAACGTGAAGACTGTTAACAATTTAACGTAACTTCTACTGTATTTTAAGATCAAAATTAGCTACCATATTGATCATAATCAAAGCATGGGTGTTATACTAACTAAATACTGTATACAGCTTGACTGGTATTCTTACGTTGTATAATTCTAAACAGAATGATGTTGCCGAATAGTAATAAATTCTAGCCTGAAGCTACAATAGTTTTACAGTGCACAATCTTGAACGAGAGTTCCAAGAATTAACCATCATTACAAACTATACGGGTATATCACCAAACTACAACGACATTGCTACAATAATTATAAAAATTAACTGTTATTGCATGCAGTATATGCATATCACCTAACTAAAACAATATTGCTAGATTAATTATAAGGATTAGCTATCATTATATATATCACCAAACCACAACGACATTGCTAGAATAGTGATAAGAATGAACCATCATTACATATATATGTTATATACATGTTACGGAAAAACGTAACTACAACGATTTGCTAGCATAATTATAAAAATTAACCATTATTACACACTGTATGTTACCGTAACATATATACATATAAAATAATAAGAATGAACCACTATTACACATGCAGTAAATATATATTACCAAACTAAAGTGACATTGCTTGATTAATTATAAGAATTAGCCATCATTACATATATATATATGTTATATATCACCAAACTACAACGACATTTGCTAGAATAATTATAAAGATTAACTATCATTTCATATGTAATTGGCCATCCAAAAATATCAAAATGATTCTAATCTTTGCTTATCCCCTCTCGGCTGATTTGTCAACTATTATACAATTGCGCGTGTTGAAAAGGTACTCTAATTGACAATATTTTAAAATGTTATCGTTGTATAATAGTCCAAGTATCACCCGAGAAGGTACTGTATAATCACATACTTTGCTCTAGATAAATGAATATATATGTTACGTATGTTATGTATACATATCCATTTATAATACGTGCATTGTTACTAAGTTTGATTATGGTACAATAACTATACTAACTTCTAAAGCAAATTATAATAGCAGCCTAGACAAATAAAAATAGGTAGCATAGATGTACATGAATTGAGTTTATCTTGAAAATATCTACATATGCCTTCTCCATCATCATAACTGCTTTCCGATGAATATTTTTAGCCGTTAATCACCACGGAAGGACTTAAAATGATGATAATATATCAGTACACAATATTTCTTTTATTGGCAGAATGATCTAATTCCGATGTCAGCTATGTGGTAGTTACCTATAGTAATTACCGGATTTCAACTAATTCCATCATTGTTTTTGCTATACTACGCGTTCTTACTGAATTGTCACCTGAATGCCAATATACACCATGCAGTGGGCATGTGATTATTCAAATAATTTGAATAATTTTTATTATTGCGTAAGAGGGAGCCGTTAACCCAATAAAAGATGCCATGAATAATTAATTAACTTTGCTAATCAATTGCTTTTTCAACTCCTTGTTACGATAGGCTGTAGTTACAAGTAACGTGAAAGTTATGTGAACTAGCCAGTTGTAACTTGTAACTGTGCCTAGTAGTAATCGAAATTTTACTTTCTTCGACAAGGCACGAACTTTAAAGGTCATTTTACTACATATAATTCTTTTAAGATATTGCTTCAACTATTCAAAACCATCTATAATTATGATAACGTGAAGAAATGAAACAACAATAATGTTGACGTCAATTATTCCCACTGTAATGTGATAGCTGATATTGCTATCAAAACTTCTACAGACAACGCCAGCAATGAACGTCAAAATCAAAAACAGAAGTCAACATGCGATCGCCAATGAAAATTTTAATAATGGTAACTACCAAGCTGCACTTACATTGTACATGCAAATACTGGAGGACTGTCGCAAAGTTGATCATCAAATCGACAAGGCAACCCAAGCAGATCTATGTAATGCCAACTTAAATGTTGCCAAAGCCCACTGTATGCTTTATCATAGCCAACAAGCAAATCACTTTTGTTGCCAATCACATCAATTAGCTAAGCAATTAACCGATAATCACTTAATAGTAGCCGAATGCCATGATTGCTCTGGTGATATTAAAAGACTGGCTGGTCGATATTGTGAAGCATTGGTAGAATATCAAGAATCGTTTAGTACTAGAATTAGCGTCAAAGGAGAAGACAATCCGAGTACGGCAAAGTCATTTAACAAAATTGGTAAAATACTTTATTTACAACAAAAATATAATGAATCTCTTCACATGCAGCAAAAAGCACGTAATATTTTATTACTACAAGTAGATAACAACAATATTCCAAACATCGATATTGCCGAAGTTTATTCCGATATTGGAATGGTTTACATGTCACAAGGAAATTTATTAGATGCAAGCATTCTATTTGAGAAATCGTTACTCGTTATTATTAAAATATTAGGAGAGAATAATCTACGAGTAGCGGATATATATAATAAACTTGGTTCGGTTTATTTAATGCAAAATCAATTAGAAGAAGCTACAGCTATGTTTAAAAAAGCTACTAATATAATTAATGAGATAATCGGTCTGAATACTTTAGAAGCAGCTACGACTTTTAATAACTTTGCTAGAATTCAACTAGCGCAAGGCAAATACGACGAAGCCGAATTAATGTGCTCAAAATCTTTGAGTATACAAATAGTACGATTAGGGAATAATCATTTAAAAATCGCAGAAACCTATACAACTCTAAGCCAAGTGTATAAAGGAGTCAAGAAATACAATGAAGCAATAGATGCCCTACAAAAAGTCATAAACATGCAGCGTATGATATTAGGCGATAGGCACTTGATCATTGCAGAATCTTACTTTAATATAGGTGAAATTTACGACTTACAAGCCAGCTATGACGATTCGCTATTATTTTATCAAGTATGTTTAAAAATTCGACTAGAAATTAGTGGGGATATGGATGAAAATGTGGCCAAAACCTATCATCGTATCGGATTAGCCCAGTTCTCACTAGGAGAATATAACAATGCTCTAAATCACTATCATCATGGATTACGATGCTATCTAGAAATGATTGGATTTCAGAATTTAACTGTAGCTTCATTACTTAATGATCTTGGATTTGCTAATCAAAAGTTAGAAAATTATAACGAAGCAATTAGCGTTCATTCTCAAGCTATATCCATACAACGGCGATTGCTGGGTCAATGCAATTCATCTTTAGCTTCATCATATAATAGCATTGCAATAGCTTATCAACTGAATGGCAACTTTAACCAAGCTATATGCATGCTACAGAAAAAATTAAAAATTCAGTTAGTATTACTGGGAAAGAACGATACAAAAATTGCTAATACATACAGCAATCTCGGATCGTTATATCAACTACAAGGTAAATATGTTGATGCATTAGTTATGTATAAAAAGTGTAAAAAAATTCTACTCAAAGTCTTGGGTAATAACAATATAGATTTAGCAGAATCACACCGTAATATAGGATTCATTTACATACTACAAGGTCGATATGACGATGCAATGTCATTACTTAGGCAAAGTTTACAAATTTATTATGAAAAACTAGGCCAAAATGATTTAGAAGTAGTTAAAGTGTATGAGAATATCGGATCAATATACAATTGCCAAAGAGATTTCAGTAGCGCATTAGGAGCCTACCGGAAATGTTTAGCAATAAAGCTAACGCTGTTAGGAAATAGTCATTTTGATTTAGCGGTGACTTATAGCGATATTGCTTCTATTTATTATTCAATTGCTCAATTCGATCAAGCTCTAGATTCTTATGAGAAATGTTTAAAAATTCAAGAAAACCATCTTGGTCTCGATCATTTACAAGTAGCAACAACATATTATAATATTGGAAAGATATATTATCTACAAAACAAGCAAGATACCGCTTTAGCTATGTATAACAAGTGTAAAAATATCCAACTGAAAAGTCTTGGCGAAAAAAATCCTACCATTGCTAAATTATATATCAGCATAGGATTAGTACATGTATCGAAAGAGCAATATGAAGATGCTATGTTGTTATATCAGAAAGGATTAGCAATTCAAATAAAATATTTGGGTAGTAATAATTCGCAGACTGCATCGACTTTATCAAATATAGCATCAGTCTACAAAGCTCAAAATAAATTTGATGACGCTATATCTTTATATAACAATTGTATTTCTATCGAAGAAGAATTATCGGGTGATCATCATGGATGCATGATAATATTATATCAAAATTTGGCCTCAACCTATGAATCATGCGATAAATTAGACGATGCAATCAAGGCATATCACAAATGTTTAAATATTCAACAACACCTATTTGGAGAAAATAGTCTCCACGTCGCTTCCACATTTAATGATATTGCTTCCATTTACGTCAAGCAAAGCAAGCACAACGATGCAGCATTTCAATGTGAAGAAAGTATTAAGATACTTAATAAAGCTCTTGGAGATAAGAGTCTACTAGTTGTAACTATGTATAATAAATTAGCAAATATTTATGCAGAACAAGGGCACATAGATAAGGCTTTAACCACATTACATCAGAGTCTGGACATCTTTCTAGCACTTCGAAAAGAAAAAAGCTCCAAAAATGAAACTATTTTATTTCGAGACGCCTTAGAATGCAAACAACAATTTAAATGTTTTGATCAGATGTCATTATTACAAAAGACCGTCGATATTCAACAGAATTTTTTGGGTGACTACAATTCACTTGTTTCTATGTCAAATCATAACTCTGGAAGCACATACCTAGCAGCAGATAGATTAGATGATGCATTAAAAATTTGCAACAAATGCTTAAAAATTCAACGGCAAATTCTTGATGACAACCATCCCGCTTTAGCTAAAACCTATTATAAGCTGGGGATAATTTATCTACAACAGGACAATCATAAGGATGCTCTGAGCATGTTTCAGCTATCTATTGATATCCAAAATAGAAATGATGACGATAACGATGCTCTGTTAGCCAATTGTTATCAAAGCATTGCTTCGATCTATAAGCTAAGCGGTAATAAAACTTCAGCAATCATGATGTACGATAAATGTTTAAACATTCAGAAAACTCTATTTGGAGAAAGTTATCCAAATATTTCCGAAATTTGTCAAGAGCTGAATGAAATCGCTATAACCGACTCGCGTAAGTTCTACAATATTGAAAAAATAATTAGCCCACAATGTGAATTTTATGTGTAGTAATTTGTCTTATATTCTTCAAGTGAATAACGCCTGTAATACTGCATATTTTATCTAGCAAGAAATCAAACTTCTTTATTCAAGAATTGTAGACAAAGCTAAGAAATTAAGACGTACATTCAGGAAAAGTATTCATGTATTTCTTAAGGTATAACAGGACATTAGCATAATATATTTGAGGTATAAGTATTACTTTATGCACTTACTGAACAACATTCATGAATTACTTGTATATATACAAACGAAATAATACATTGTAGCAAGGATAAAGCCTATACCAGTGCGTAATTTAATACGGTAGTAAAGTAAATTCAACATTTGATAAATAATAATCAGATAAAGGCATTTTAACTCGAACAAATACTGTGTGCAGTAACACTTATACAGATAATTTTCTACCGTCAAGAAAAGTTCGTTATGATACCCAATTAGTCTTACGTAACAGAATTTGTACCGGAATTTTCAGATTACCGATGATATAAACTATTTTTGGCAAGTTCAAATACATATATTACTTAATTTCACTAATAGAAACTATATTACAAGATCATAGTATCTATTCGGTTGAAATATGAAAAAGGGATACTGTTAAATTTCTTATCCGTAAACTTACATTTATCATCTGCTGTACAATTGTATACTTAGCAGATAATTTTATTTTTATTTCAGACAAATAATAATTCTATCACGTAATTAAAAAACGATGATAGCATTCATGAAATGATAAATAACTTGATCAACTTCTACTAAATTTAATGTAGCATAAGGGTATATATTGTATAAACTTGCATGAATTATGTTATACTTTTCTAAATCGTAACTATTTTCATTCTAGAATATCAATTTTACTTGAAATTGATTTAAGGTTAAATAGCTAGGTCTACCATGATTTGTATAGATAATTGTATTGCTGGAGCAATAAAATTGCTGTAGATGAATCTGCATGTTGTATTTAGCTGCAATTAACTGAAAAGCCATTTTTAACGATACTTATTTGTATCACTTATAACATTCAATGTTAATCTCTTGAATAAATGCGCGTATGTCTTCATAATTTTAACTTGTAGCAATTTATATATTTTTTTCTGGTACTTAGTTCGAATAGCCTTAGATAATTATGTCTAAGATCTTTAGTTTGCTCTAAAAAATAATGTCATTACGATCTCACTCCATGATGAATTCCCTGTGCGCACTTATTTCATTTAGCCCGGACTAATTTTAGCTATCAAGTAAAACAGGATCCATTTTTTATAAGTATTAAATTAGAATCGCAAAATTCAATATGTTACTAGTACAGAAAGAAAAAATAGTATTGAATATGAATTTAGATAAACATACACACTAAGTAGAGGATATTGCCATAAGATCTCAATTGCTAATTACAGCATAGCATGAAAGTCATTTCTTGGGAACAGAGTTAAGTGCGTAATATCGAGCTTTGTAGAATAATTTTATGAAGTTGCATTCACAACTACGGTTTCTGTTAAAAGCGATGCAAATTATGTATCAGACTTTCTTATATCAGTTTAAGACGGAAAATACTATAAACCTTAATACTTTATACATAAATACATATTTAGCGATTACTTAATTCTAGGTTACAATTTCTCGTACTAGAACTCATGATTAGTAGAATATTTTAGATATCCGTATACCCGTATCCGAATGTTCTGCCTAGCGATTCCAGGCTGAAAATTACGATCTTTCAACCCAAGAAATAATAATACATAGCAACAATAAGTACATATCCATAACATATTTTCCTCAAATGATACAGCTATATTGAGATTTTAAGATGAAGTAAAGATAGCAGTGAAAATCCTATCTTTCCGTTTATAAGTTTGTTTACGCTCTTTCTTTTATGCGATATAAATATATATTGCAAAAGGAAATTTATAATACACATCCTTTTAGAAAATTAGTATGTTATAGGCTAAATTTATTAATGAAGGAGAAATGGTACAAGTAATCTGTTCACCACTTGCATAATATGGGTTTACAATTAATGTCTTATTGACTATGAATTGCACTGGCTGGTGCAATCGGAAAATATAAAGTTAATCTTAATTTACTATCTAATTTAAGAAACGATACTAAATTCCCATAAAACTACGTACATTCTCATACTGATGATAGACTACGGAATTTGATGGAACGTTATTCTAATTGTGAGTTATTTCGGCGAGAAAAGTATGAGCAGGATAGCTAAAGTGAACGAAAATCTATAGGTTGTTAAACGTATGTTAACAGAATGCAATTTACTTTATATATGCGATAGAACTGTTGAGTTGATTTCAATAACTATCTATAAGTCTATAAGATATTGACTTATTTTCAAAATAGTAAATAAAATGGAATAAGATTTAGCTGAATAATTAGAGAGTCTAGACATACCTGGAAACATAAAGCCTAACTCTAACTTAGCTTCTAGCTAAACTGCTGTATATAATTGTATAATTTTACATCAAGGTCAATTAATTAAGCTAAAATTTTGCCTTACATTTTATCAATATTATAATCTTTAACTTTGTGACGATCGTATTGACGTGAAATTCAATTGATTAAGAAATTACCATTCAAGTGGCTTACGATATATAACTGAAGAATAGGATGAAGCAAAATTTTTTATTAGATTATATCAAATTGTGATTTTAGGTTAATAGGATTTATATAACATAAAAATTGAAAATTTTTCATTACTTTTATTAGTAATCATTGAATATATTGCAGAAAATTAAGATAGGTCAATATTGCCATCATCTTTCAATATGACACGCAACGGATTAATTGGACATGTGTCTGACAAATAATTACCATAAAAAAGAGCATTTTATCATGGAGAATTATATGCAATTTCTTTCGCTAGATGCTTGCTAATTTGATGTTTACTGTTTCATATCATAATCTGTGCAAATTGATGTAAATTTTTTACTGGGTTTTTTCGATAATTATAGACTATGTATGACATGATAACTTCACATCATTTGGTCTATGAAGTTTATTTTTAAATTAATTTAAAACGAATAGACAGGTATAAAATACACGTATAAAAGATTAACAAATAACCTTTACAGGAACTTGGTATTTAAAATTTCATGACAAAGCAAGAAAAGGATTCCTCTTAGTTACATCCATATTAATCATGGCGATTATTTTTCTACGTAATTTCCTGCTCATAAAACATTAACTTTTTCCGTTTTTTCCAAAAAATTATATTCGACATTGTTTATATCATTTAGACAACATCGAATTAGTTAATACATTGGGATTCATAATCAAAAATCTAAGTATTAAAGATTTTCAAATAGCGAATTAAGAGGCCTGTTCTTCGCTACTGAAATTGTAGTCACAAAAGAGCATTTGAGTAGAACATTTAACTGCATACTTTATGATTACTTAATGATTACGTTATATGTACAGTATTAGTGCTTTCGTATATTGATAAGCAGAATTGAAGGAAAGAATTAAAATTTCGTTGTGTTTATGTGAAAGTCCAGGACTGGACTGTACTGAGGGCTATTTTAAGGTATAATTATTATCCATAACATTACTTCCTTTCGATTTTATCGATTTAGGTTTGCTTTTGATATCAAAATATTGCGACATACATGAAAAATTTACCAATTCATAATTTGAATAGGCTTTATGCAGCAAGATTAATACTGTTTACGATCTGATACAATACAAAGAGTATCAAATATCTATTGTTTGTGCGAATTATTCCCTCAAAACAATTCCATTATGATATAGAGTATAAAGCGCTGCTATCGCATTAATTGCAATTCATTATGAATTAATATTAATATTCTCAGTGAAATAGTCATGATTTTGACGCTTATAATACTAGCATCCTAACAATAAAATCAGAATTTCAATGATTTAAGAATAAAGGAAGTAATAATTAAGTAAATTAAATATATTGAATAAAAATAGATAAAATAAAAAATATTAGAGCTATCTACCGTTTACAAGATAAAAATTTAAGTATTACACTAGTTTACGTGACTAACCGTGTAAATTAATTAAAATACAATTCGCTTTAGTTTAATTTCGGGATGTCGAAGCCTTCAAAATAAAATTCTAAACTGTTGCTGTTGTAGTTTATGTCTCCTAATTACTATAAAATATTATAATACAATATTAGAGTTAGCTAATTTATATCGCTATGTTAAGTAGAATAATTTCAAAAACTACAACATTACAATAATCATTCACTTATTTTCTATCTAGTATCAGAGTATCGAATAAATATTTGATTACGCTCTGGAGAACGAATAGTAGATAGCGTACTCACTCATATAAGATTTTGCGGTTAACTGTAAGTGCCGGCACGATCAAGCATTGCACTTCTGCAAATACGATGTTCTTAATACTCAGCTAACAATTGCGGACTTCTCTTACAAACACAAACCATATACCCTCTATTTAACGTAACAGAAACATTAGAGAAGGTAGTCTTAAAAATTTGACCAGATCTAAATCGTTAATAGGTATGTGCCTCATTTTATCGGTACCTTTGGAAATCATCTAACCATCAGCATTAAATGAATTAAATGTTCAATCCTTATATTCAGTTGTATTTGCTAATCAAAGTATCAGCATATTTTTTAACATGCTATTGAAAAATAGGTTTGGATATAATCTTTCGACTTTTCTAGTCTTTGAGAGCAAGGCAGTAATTATATTACTGTAAAAAATTTTCCCTACGCCGATCAGATATCAAATAGTTTACTAAGGAAACAATGTGAAAATTCTCTTTATTAGCGACCAAGTAATTTAATCCTTAATGTCATTTCAGATTAACTTGCTTTGAATGACAGCTAGAAACATCACGATATTTGAGTACATTCACAAAATCAATCCATTAATCATAAATAAGTAAACATCTTGCCGACTGTAATGAAATGACAAGTGTAGAGATCAAGCTACAAAACTTTAACAAACTTTGATTCCACTTTCGTTGCACTCCGGTCGACTTAGCAAAACTTTGACATCAAATA